TAAATCCATACAGTTGAAACTCGACCTCGATATCTGTTAGTAGACACGATGGAAAAGCCGATCCGGTCTGAAGTTGCAGCCTCATGTGGGGCAAGTCTAGATCCACACTAACTCTAGGGCTGCCAGCGGTCTGACCAGAAATATTAGTTATGGGCTGGGTTGGTTCCGATACACTAAACATCTAAACACGGTCCGTGAGCGTTCGTGGCTGAGATGATCTACATTGTCCTACATACGAATATTTCAAGGATCCTTGATTTTACCGCTGATGACTCGGAGGCTTGTGCACACGTATCCCTACTAGTCGTATCGAAGTAACCAAATACTATCAATTTTTCAAAACCCATGCCTTTAGATGGTATTGCCTACGGTACTACTAGTATAGAACTCGATTACTCTGACTCGGAAGGGCAGGCACTAGTAACGGTAGTGCAGATTTGGAATCTGATGGGCATATATTTCTCACTGCCAACACGCAGACCTTCCTTTCTACCAAGTTTCGCCCTTTGAGCAGCCGCCCAGATTCGGTTCGTAAAACTTTCCTTCCACTTTTACTACGGAGGTTGTACGTCGAATATTATTTCGCTCGCTATGGAAACTCTGGAGAAAGGACATCAGAGTCCTGGTGTCAGTGAGTCGACGTTGGGAAGTCTAGTATCTGGCCTTGACAATGGCGGGCCTATTACTACAGTGGGAACCAGTTACGATGTCGCAGGCAACCATTCAAAAAAGAGCACCAACGATAGTGATCAGGAACTTCAAGTTCCTGACGCTCGTGATTGGAACATGAAGTACAAACTCTTTGTCTCGCTCAGTGCAATCTGTGCATACTTCGTCATGTGAGTCCATCTAGCTATCAATCCAAGCTTGTCGGCCAATATTGAATAGACGCTGACTTGGCTCCGATGTGTTCCACCAGTACCCTGACAACGTCAATTTATATCGCAAGTATCCCCGGAATAATGCTCGAATTCCGGGTCAGCCAAACATTGGCCATTGCCCCCATCACATTCTACGCAATCGGCTTTGTTATCGGACCAATTTGCACCTCCGCGCTCTCAGAGGAATTTGGAAGACAGTACATCTATAAGGCTTCTCTATTCTTGCATCTGGTGTTTACCATTGTCGGTGGTTCTGCGCAGAACTTTCGGACTTTGGCCGTTGCCCGGGGTATCTGTGGGATTGTGGGTTCACCCTGCGTGACTGTTTTCTCGGGTCTGTTGAATGATCTTTGGAAAATGCCCGAGGATAAAATGGGTGTCACCTTGCTTGCTATTACTGGTATCATGGGTGCAGTTGCGAGTGAGATTGGACCTCTTGCTGGCGAGGCGATTGTTGTAGACCGTGATTGGCGCTGGACTTTTTGGCTGACTGCCATGCTGGTGGGGGTTTGTTTCTTAGCTCTGGTCTCGGTTCCAGAGACTTATAGGCCTGAGATCAGGAGGAAGATGAGGAATTTACCCCGGAAGAATTTGTGGCATTGCCTTGGTCCTTCTCTTGCGCGTCCCATGCAGTTGCTCCTGCTGGAGCCGATCATCTTCCCCACCGCGGCTATTGTCGCTATGGGCCAGGTTGTGGTTTTCGTGTTTTATGCGAGCTATCCTTTGGTTCTTGCAGAGGTTTATCAATTCAGCCCTTATGAGGTTGGGTTGGCTTTCATTCCATTGATCATTGGTAGTCTACTGGCAATGCCTATCATATCAGCGGTGATGAAGAGAAGGGAGAAGTCCTCGAATCCCCAGCCCGAGGATTCGCTTCCTGCGGGGAGTATCGCAGGTATCCTGTTACCTATTAGTCTTTTCTGGTAAATTATTCTCTCCGGAGCACTTGAATCTCTTCTTTACATTATGCTAATGCAGATGAATAGGCTTGCATGGACAGCTCGAAGCAATATTCATTGGATATGTCCCCTCCTTGCCGGAGGCCTCTATGGGCTAGCATTTGCGCTATCACAGGTACGTATCAGGCTATATCAGCACTTCAATCTTGCGGATGGTTAATAAAACACAGTTGGTCTACCCGCTCTACAAAAACGAGGTCTATGGAGCCGAGCTTGGGGCTTCCGCATTTGCGGTCGACGTCGCAATGCGGTACACGTTCTCATCTATCTTCCCTCTCTTCACCATTCAAATGGTTAGGCGGATTGGGTTTGACTGGACCATCTCGCTTTGCGCGTTCGTCCTGTTCACACTGGCGCCTGTTCCTTTCGTACTTCAAAGGTACGGGCCAACGTTGCGGGAAAGAAGTCGCTATGTTCCGAAGACGGGACAGAGCGCTCTGCGAGATATGTCAGCATGATATTCCATGTCTGGAACAAGCTATATACGGAAAATAGCTAAGAGTGAAAGTACTAGTCTATAATGGGCCAGAAAAATGCGGTGAAGGTCACAAAATGCGGGGAGCGCTACTAGTATATGCAGAGGGGAGGAAAGTAGATCGCTGGAAAAAGTGATTTAATACTAGTACCACTAGTATGCATTTGTCCTTGTCACTCCTAGTAGCCGCTTCTTTCTACTAATATATATCCTTTTTTTGGGGGACTCCTAGTACTTAGCTCCGTGATTCTGATAAGCGCTTCGCTTGGAAATGGAACGATCAAACTAAAATTGATTTGACACCCCGTATTATCCAAGCCTTGCGTTTTGATCCAGCTCTGCAAAAGTAAAAGTTTTCCAGTGATCTCTGGCACGCTTCTTGGTCAAACGAATCTGGCCACCCATGCTTGATGCAATATCAAAATGAGCCCTTGTTCACGATGGTCACTCCTTTGGCCAAAAGAACAAGAAACCGAAACAATATCATCAGGCATATTGCAGATCATTAATTATTAACAGAAAGATTCTTTTGATAGCGGACGCCGAGGCGACTAGCCAAACTTCATGATGGAACTGCTCCTTCAAGGAGTAAACAAAGGCAAGCCTGAGCCTGTCTAGCTCGAGAATACAATCCAATACTTCCATCTCTTCTCCCTTTTGTACAGGACGTATAGTAGTTTCTTTAGTTAAATAATACTTATTTACACCTCAGATTTTGGCAAGGACCAAACGGAACTAGGAAGCCTCTCAGTCACCTCGCAAGCTTTCCTTTCGGTGGCGGGTCAGTTAGTTCTTTACATAAATGTATTTAAATAACAATCAATTCCACCGATTTATTGGAATATTTATGTCCCCGGGATCCCAGTTCGTAAATACACAACGGTTAAAGATAGGAGTGAGAATTACAAGTTGTCAGCGACGAAAGCCTCTATAACTTCGATCACTGAAACTCGACTACAAGCTTCGTGCCTCGGCCTTCTCCCTTGCGAAGCGTCTCGAGGCCTTCAAAGATTTCCTTGAATCCGCCCTTGATCGTTGTGATAGGCGGAGGTCTCACAGCGTCAATGCTCAAAGTGGACAAATTACCATAGAAATTGGTAAGAATCTCACGGTCTGTCAGAATCACCGAGAACACGGGTCCAAGAGGCGCCATAAGCTGGAACTCACGACCGAACACAGTATATACCATAAGGAAAGTATAAATCACGTTTGCCTTCTTTGATTTTCCTTGGTCAAGTAGCGTGACCACCTTGCCCTCTCGTAACACATCAGCACAGAAGGCGGCCGAACTGCCTTCGGAAAAGCAGTCCAAAGCTTTTGTGATATTTGGATAGGCCTTCTTGATTTCTCCAATAGATGCAGAGGTTCGGTAATCATATACCGCATCGGCACCATAACGCTTTGCGAGGTCGAAAGAACGTGGCGAGGCCGTTGCCACAACTTTATATCCTGCTCTCTTAGCTAATTGAATAGTGAACAGACCAACGTTCGAGCCTCCTGAGTAGATGAGAATGGTCGGTTGGTCACCCTGAGCGCTGCGCCCGTTCACAATATCCACCCAGGGAATATCAAGATAGGCAAGACTCAGCATCGCGGTGGCTGCGGGAACTCCGTAAGTGGTGGCTTGCCCTAGCGTCATTTCATCAGGGACCTTCCAAGCCAAATCGCCATCAACTTTCAAGTACTCTGCGAATGAGCCAATGTCGGGATATAAGCCACCGTGAACAAAGCCTGCGATTCTGTCTCCGACCTTCCAGCGCTGTCCCGAATTCTTGCCGACCCGAGCCACCTCGCCCGCATAGTCGCAGCCAATAGCGGAATTGCGTGGGGAAAGAAAATCGATGTCTTTGAAGTCAATCGGATTGAGCGCGACGGCCCGCACCTTCACCAAGACCTCATTATCAGTGATGCTTGGAATCGAGACATCCTTGACTTGCGCGCCTTGCCCAAGCGGACTGCCGAGAGCGAAACTCAGTAAACGCTTCGGCAATAATCGATTTGCGATGACTGCTTTCATCTGGGTGGAGGTATAGGCTACCGAGTAGGAGAAATAAGATGGGAAGTGTTTAACAGGCAAGGCCCTTGTGTGCAGGACTGGGTTGTAAGGAAAATATTGGCGAACAACGTTAGTGCGGCCAGCGAACGAACAGAGCACTTAATTGTAAAGCTCTTCCCAGAAGGCTGCTTAACAGGTCGGGTGAACATCAGACCGACGGGACCAAGGGATGTCCCGCGTTAACTCGCCAGCTTAAGATTAAAGAGGCCCAGGAGGCGAATTTACGGCTTGGTTGAGGGTCAATATGAGTGGTGGCCTCGGGCCGGGAATGATGAGTCGCCTGCCCCGACCGTGCTAGTACTGAGCAATCTAGTAATCTAGCTGTCAATCACTCACTCATCTACCCGATTCCGAATCTGGGAAGGGATTGCTGATCTTTTCCCTAGCTTTCTGTTCGAGACCTTTTTGGTGAATATGCTGACCTCAAACTAATCCGACCCGACAACCAAGGACAATGATGGGCAGGTTGCGGAAATTCCAGCGTTGAAGCTCGGGCAGCCGGCTGGTTGACACTTGCCCTATAAAATATACAGCCTGTCCTTGTCTCATGAGATACCTTCTGCCAGAATTCTTCCTCAAGATAACTGATTCAATCGCAACTGCTCTTTCATGTTGCACAAATCACTACAATGACGACCCTTCAAACCGTCCCGACTTCTTTTGTGTCCATCAATGGACTGAGGATCGCTTATAGGCGTTTCGGAGCAGGCAGTCCATTGCCTTTGGTCTATGTCAACCATCTTCGTGGTAGCATGGATACACTCGATCCGCTTCTGTTTAATAGCATTGCCAAAGGCCGTGAAGTCATTGTCTACGACAGTGCTGGCATCGGACACAGCGAGGGAACTGTGCCGGATTCCATTTCTGAGATGGCCGACGTGGTTGTCAACCTGCTCGCCACGCTTGATATTCCAAAGGCCGATTTCATCGGCTTCTCCATGGGCGGTGGCATTGTACAGTACCTCGGATATACGTACCCTCAACTTGTCAACAAACTGATCCTGGCCGGCACTCAACCTGGAATCGGTGAAGGTGTGACTTTGCCCCCGCGGGAGGTACTGGAAAGTGCTGGAGCAAACATAGAGGAGCCACCAACCGAGGATGGTATGATGTACCTTTTCTTCAACTCCTCCGAGACCAGCCTTTCCCTCGGTCATGCATGGTGGAAGCGAATCCACGAGCGAAACATTGAAGGTGAACCGCGGAAGGCATATCTTACCGGAACCGGGACTCAGTCGCAGCTTGCTGCGATCTTCAAATTCACCACTGATACTCGCAACTTCGATCTTTTGGCAGAAATCAAGGCCCCGGTTCTTGTCACCAACGGCCATACAGACATTATGTCGCCCACTGCAAACAGTTTCGTGTTGCAGCAGAAGCTCCCCAATGCCCAGCTGCATCTTTACGCTGACGCAGGGCACGGGCATCTCTTCCAGGTGCCTGAGCTTTACGGGAAGCAGATTGAGCTGTTTTTGAATAACTGAGTCTGTTAGTCTTATTCAGATCCATTGTTGTATTGCATCGGTTCATGACTGGACAGTGGTTGTCTGCATGTCGAGGATCGAGGACATAGGCCGTATAGGATCGTTCCAGTCAACCGTCGAGATTCTTGAGGAAGCGGCTGGTGCTATGATTTGCAGCTATATTACTTCAGCATCCAATATGTATCATTTGCTTGGTCATAATGAAATTGAGCAGTCCCAGCTCTTCTAGAATAATACTCCATTGCAATTATCTCTTGAATATTCCTCAATCTGCAATATCAGAGGTAAGATTGCAAAGACTGGTCAGTAAAATTGGGCAGCAAGCCCCCGGGCCCTAACTCAAACGAATAGAGCATAGTAACACATAGAGACATTACATCCTTGATTCTCTATTTATCTGGTAGGTAGTGGTTGCAGCTTTACTTTCGAATCTATTCCTCGAGCTTCGGACTACAGTCCTAACGCCACAGGCGATTACATTGATAAAGAGTAAAAGCACCACCATCGATATTCAGGTCGGTTTATTCTGACTCTGAAGAGTGTTCTGTATAAATCGCCTCTGGGGACAAAGAAGAACGGACACTCTAAGGTGGTTGGCTACTTCAACACCGCCCCACGCGACTAGACATGATCGATGTCAATATGTCCTTGTTCTTGATGACAGCTCAGTCTTGATTTCACTCCGGCATAGCGATATATTCTCAACATCTCGGATTGGGACACGAGACGCCTCATTATTCAAGGTCTTAAAGTCGGAACTCAAGTGCCTCGATCTATGTTTCAAATTCTGCACATTGAAAGGTCTACTATACTGCGTTTATCAAATGTCACCTGTGAATAACCAAATTTAATTGCGTTTAGGATGGATTAAAACTAGCGAAAAGTATTTGAGATCTGTTTCCAAGGTTGTCCCGCTAGAGTATCGAGGAGGTTAAAGATAAACGAATTCTTGGAAAACAAGATGGAGAAAAAGCGCAAAAAGAAGGAGAACACTTGCGTAGCCCGATTGTATCTGTGAAAGAACACTTTGAATAGAGCAACTTGAACAAAATTAAAGTAAATCACAAGAAAGGACCACAAAATAACGCACGAGAAATATTACTGCTCTCAAAACACAGAAAATTACGGAAGCGATTAGTTTGTCTTCTGACGATCCTGTTCGGTCTTCTCCGCGTCACGAATCTTGTTCGTAATGTCCGGCATGTGAGCGACAGGACGAAGCAAAGTATCCTGTGTGCGCGTGTAAAGTTAGAAGATTGAATGGGATGGATGCCATGAGTCGAGGGAAAATTCCTACCCATACAGTTGACCAGCCAAATGTCGAAGCCAGCCAAGTCAGCAAGGCCCCTCCCCCTGACCAAAGATGCTTCTTGGGGCTTGATCGGATTGCGTTGTTGACCACGACCTCGGCATATGAATTGACATCCATGGCATTTTTCTCCATCTCAGTCCCAGCCAATGCTGGCTCAATCACATCCTTTGCGGGGTAATAGAGAGAGTTCTTGGGTAGACGAGGTGCACTTGGAAGATTGTCGAAGAACTTGGTCCTAATTGCACCAGTAGTGATGAGGATTGCGCGGACTCCCCAAGGAGAGAACTCGATACGCATCTGATCGGTCATGATGGCAACTGCAGCTTTGCTTGCATTGTAATAACCCTGCCATGGAAAAGGCATTTTGCCAAGCACTGACCCAATGTTGACAATCGTTCCTTTGGAGGCAATCAAAAGTGGCGCAAACGCCTGAGTGACGGTAACGACAGCAAAGACGTTAACATCAAACATTCTCTTGGCAATTGAGACATCCGAATCCAATAAAGGCATGCTATAACCTATTGAAGGGTCAGTGGATTTTCACAAGTAAACTGCTTTGAACCCGTGAGATTACCTGCGCCTGAGTTGTTGACCAGGAAGTCCAAATATCCACCCATTGCAGCCTTCACGGTTAACGCTGCTTGCTTGATTGACTCCTCGTCAGTAACATCTAGTTGTACAATGTCAAGACCCATGTCCTTGAGATGTTGGACTTTGGCGGTGTTCCGAGCGCTGGCAAAAACCCGAAACCCCTTCTTGTGGAAGGTCTTTGCAAGAGCGTCACCTATCCCACCTTCACTGCAACCCGTAATGAGAACTGTCTTCTGACCCATGTTCAAGTTTTTGATGAATGATATGGAGCACAATTTTCAAAGATTTGCCGCGAAGTCAGATATTTGGGATACAAGCGAGATATAATATAAAATATGCACGCAGTCCCAATCCAACCTTGGAAGAGGAATCAAAAGGAACTTTAAGGAAGGATGGATTTCGGGAGCGTCCAACTACGCCTGAAGACCGACAACTCTACAGTTCTTCCATAGTAGATTAGCAATCATGCGCGCATCAAACCCTCAACTGATCGGAGATCATTCCAATAGTAGCAAAGGCTGACCCCACTTGGGTGCCAAGGTCAACTCGGGTCGATGACGAGACAGTCCCGGTTCCATTTTGACCTTGCCCGACCATGGATAAAGTTAATGGGAACCATCCTGCAACACTGAACAGCGATCGCTGATATCCCGGAATTATTGCAACTGTTCGAGGCACCCACTAAATCAAACCTTACTACATGCCATCTATGCACCTGTATGATCGGGTGCAGTGAAAAAGGTCGCCGAGAGACAGAGTCGGAGACTAGCGCTTTCGATCTGGAATTCAACACTTCTATCAGGTACTAGGACTTATTTCACTTTTCGCGATATGGCGGTTTTCTATATACAGCAAGATCCGGTGACAGAGACAAACAGTACGTAATGAAGCCTTATTGTTTTTCTCCCCTTTCTTTTTACACACTTGTATCTATACAAGAACCAAAAACGATTACGGTAGTCCATCCATATAAATTAATAAATTCACACAACAGTCGAAACGTGCAGGGCCTCCTCCACATCATTGCGTTGGAACCCAGGTGTGCGACCTAGGCAAACTCCTCTGCTTATCAACGCTACCAAGGTCAGAATACTGAATAGTAATGGACCAGCAACGGACTTACTTGATATGAAACGTGAGACATTGATATTGGTCTGCACTTTCGAGTATCTTGTTGGCTCACCAGCTGACGCAACCAGGAGCACATTCTTATCTTGAAGATATCCCTTCAGATCTTGCAAGTCAAACCAATCACCTTCTAGTTGCTTTCGTAAGTCTTCCTTGACGAGTGATATGGGGTCCTCCACAGTTCCCCATCTCTGGTAATGAGGGACAAATGCACCCATGCTCCTGTCGGGATAATGGGTTCCCGCGCCCCCCAACCTGAACAGGGGGACTTCCTCCCATCCATCCAGCGGCTTTTGGCTTGCGTGAGCATATAATTCCGCTTTAAAGTAGGATGCCAGGCGTTCACGACTCATAATACTAAAAATAATCCCAAAGGGCCTCTGGAGTTGATCCAAGCCGATTGACGGATTGCATAGAGCGAGATGTCCCTGGTAGAGAGCTGCTAGAAGCAGCCTGTCAATGAATTCGGATACCTCTAAAACCGAAATTCCTGATGAAGTGACGGTATATGACATGACAGTACTGTTAGGGTTATAAAATTCAATGCCATCCATGGGCAGGTGGAGGGGATGTCGGGTGCCTGGCGGTTGACTGTGGGTCCTTGTAAGGCTGCTGGTGAGTCAATTGTCTTATTAGAGCTATTAGGGACCCTTGTCCCGTCGTCGAGGCTTGCTTCCGATGCCATAGAAAGGAAGATCTTCATTGTGTCACGTAGATTCGCTGTCAGGGCAGGATGTGACCTAAGTACTCCACTTTGGACCAACTGCGCACTAAATGACAGCATAGCAGAGCTCATTTTCTCCATTGAGGTCTCCAAAAGGGAGATGCGGCTCTTGAGGCCTTCAAACGTGGCTTGTTGTCGTGAACGATATGCACGTTGTGCCATGCGAGTTTGCATGCGACGACGCTGTCACCAGGATGGTCCGGTTAGAACGCTCAAAACATTAGTGGAGGTCAACTGATACCATACGAACCTGTCCAGGATTTTCCTCACTATCACCAACAGCTTGAGGCGTTCTATAGTTATTCGCTGGTGTGGCCTTCTTTGGTCCATCTCGCTGGCGTTTCTGTGGCCGTGGTGTCGTCGATTTAGAGCCGGGTATTTGGTTTGTGTTCGTCCGGTTCAAGTAAAACGCGAGCTCAAGGGCGGAGTCGTCAGAATTTGGTGATGGCGTATTACTTTGAGCATTTCGTGAGTCGTATGATTCGGACAGGGGATAGGAGCAGGCTGAGAGCAATGAGTTGATATCAGAGGTCGCCGATTCCTGTAATAATGGGTGGCCGGATTCGGGTAGTGATGTGCTTTGACGGAAGTCTTCCCAATTAAAGAGAGGTAGGTCGCTAGCTAGGGGCAGTGGTACTTGTTGGTCCATGGCGTGACGAATATGATCACGAATAGAGTCAAAGCGAAATCAAGCGATAGTCTGCCTGCCAGGGGGAGAGACTGACTGTATTGTTCTCCGACCAGCGCTACCTGATCTCAACCAAATAATAGGATTTCAGTAGTAGACAGTCCGTTTCAAGATTAGTGGGATGAAGGCTAATTCTACCTTGGAAGATGTACTAAACTTGCCCTGTGGAGGCACAGTTAAACTTTGGCTCGGCATGATCACTCATCATTCCGACCCGTTTTAAATTGATCACACAACGAATAAATAATTACAGAACAACCTACTTGCTTACTAATAATGAGCCTCGAGACCATCTGTTGGGTTAAATTTGGGTGGCAGAACCACTGAAAGGAGACAAAATGGTGCAGATTGAAATACTCGTGGTAACTCGTGACTAGACACCTTAAAGTGTCCGCACACACGAGCCTTGCCTTGCCTTGCAGCGAATCCAAGAGTAAACTCCTTAGACTATGTATGAAAGGATTTATCAGTTGGCGCCAAAGTTGGAGCTGGTGTCGACGCAAGCCATCCACCAACGATTGAGGCAGCACTGTGCTGACAGGCAATGTTGGTGTAGGATTCAATAAACTGTATTTACATGTGTACGCATCAGGGATACCATGGTGACATGCCAATCCCTGCTGCTGTGCCTTTGCTTCTAAGATTTTTTTGGACGTTTAATTGATTCTCACATCGGTAAATGCGTTGGCACCTCTTCCCTCTGGTGGAATATTCTCATTATAGTATTTCAATATTTGAACCTACTTATAATTAATAAACAACGGGCTAGTAATCACTTTCTCACTACTCCATTCCCGACCGACGAAATAGACAGAGCGGGACTTTTCAGAGTTTGGAGGAAGTGAGATGGTTCCCTTCACTCGCCGAGGCAGATTGAGGTCTGGCACGGCTTCAATTCGAACAAAAAGACCCGCACCACCTCGGATTTCAAGCAATTTGCCATCAGATGTGGCCGCGACTTCCTCCAGAGTTGTTTCAATGTTGAAGTTTCGTTGAGGCTTGTGTGGGTTTCCAGCCAAAGGGTCTCCGACTTTGACGTACCCATCAAGTGAGCCAGAGGCCGTTACTGTAGATGGTGTCTCGTTGCCTTTCAGGTAAATATTAACACCGTCAATGTCACCGCTTGTTTTACTCGAAAATTCGACAGTATGGTTTCCAGAAACTCGAGCAAAGTCCTCTGGATTGTCCTCAAACCCACCAAACGGGTATACCCTTTCCACTATAGCGTCCTGGGATAGTGTGATTTGGCCCTTCCAAACAGCCTCACGATAACGGTCATACAATCTTGCTCCGCCCCATGTGATTCTCAATATGGTGGGTGGGCTGTTTTGATCCTCGGACCAGAGCCGACGGTTCCAGATCAAACCTGATGCATCGAACGCTTCAATGGACGAGAAGCCTTTTTCCCGAGGAAATGATAGTCCAAATCCAAGGCCTCATCAGAAGAAACGTCGACTTCGTCACCCTGTAGAGCAATGCCGTCTTTGGTTTTAGCAGAAACAAGACCGACCAAACGCTGCCCGGTAGTTGCAAAAGTATGCCTCGATCTTAAGGAACTAGCCACCGTACTTCGATCGAGTCGAGGTGAAATAATTCCCGTTAGACCTCCTCGGGTACCAAATACTGCAGTGCCAGAAACCCCTCCACCACATCGGCCACGGTGTTCATCAGAATTGGCAGATACTCCAAGCTTCCATCCTCGCTGAACGGCGTCCTGAAGGAGCCACTCAAATTGCCCCCAAGCACTGCCAATCTCGACTAGCCGCTCGAGCTTAGGATGATGCCAGGAAAGATTGCACCGACGTCCTCCGACGTGAGGAATAAGGAGATGTTTATCGGCATCTCCAGCATAAGTGGCGTACACCTCATCCAGTGGCCAAGCTCCCGGCACGAGATCCTTCGGACCATGTTCGGACCATTCGAATGAACGTGCGACGTTTCCGTGTCGATCATAAGGGAACTCCGGAGGATGCTCCTCGGGGTCCTCTAGGAAGATGACATTGTGGTCACCCCCAGCCGCGGAGTTTCCACACCACTCAGTACCAGGGTAGATGATGAATTTACCGGGCTCATTAAGTGCCTGGATGAGGTTGATTGTGGCGTCCCAGCGCTCCTTAGTGATCTGAAAGTCATTTGCTGTGTACCCAAGAACGTCTAGACCTGCAATCTCTCGACCGTAGGAGAAATTGTATGCAGAGTTTTCGGTACCAACGGTATCATCCGAATGAACGTGGAGATCACCAAACAGAATCTTGGGAACGTTCAAGTCGGAGGACACACTGACATGAGAAATGCTTGATTTCAGAACGGGCCCGTCTTTGGCGTTCAGCGAGATATACACTGTGTAGTCACCTTCAGCAGCTAGCTGGATGTCAGAAAAGATAGCGTTTGTCCAGCCCGGTTTCGACATTGCGAGCTCCTTTTCGAAGAGTACTTGGGAGTCATCCGTTGAGACCTTCAGCCTGAAAACCATATCTTGAAGATCGCGAGTCACATTTCCCCATTTATCTTCCGCATGGGCATGGATTGCGAATGGTACATTAGGTTGTACTAGTCTCGGCGAAACAGACTGGATGCGGGAAGGTGGTCCAGATATGATGTTCCAAGAAAGATCTGGTTGAATTGGAGCAAATCGACTATTCAAGTGATGTCAGCGTCTTATTATCCATCACGTTACAAAATCTCCAACCACTCACGAGGTTCCAACAGGATCAATGTAAAATCGCCATCGGAAGTCCTTTTCTATGAAGGTTTGTATCCGAGTGCCCTTTCCACCAAATCGGCGATCACCGAGTCGAATACGGATACGATCACCGGGGTTCAGATAGCCATCTTGAATATCCACAATGACAGCTTTCTGGAAAGGCCTCTCATGGCCCTTTTGATCAAAACGAATTCCCAGTGACTGGACCGTTGCGGCTGACTGTCCGCTAACAAGCTCGTTGGGCAAATACTCAGCGCTCACATAGTTGTCCTCGGTGGGGTCTGAGGTCTGGAAAAGAGCCCAATCCTAGCAGTGATATTGTTAGTTGACTTCCATCACAGCTAACAGGCCCTGTTCTTACAGAGTAAAACTTGAAGGTGGCTTTAATCCAGGCGCCGTCTGCAAGACCCGATGCCCCGACCTCATAATCTAGAATAAGCTCGGTCCATTCACCAGCGACCAACGTAGAGACGTCACTCTTCACGCGGCCGAGAAATGGGAGGCTCTTCGTGTACTCATACAGCCCTTTAGGGGCAAAATACTCCCCGACTACCTGTTGTCTCTCCTCAATTGTAAGGTACTTCATGTCGAAATGACCTTTTGAGGATATGTTTATGATAAGATAGATATTGGCGAATATAAATACCTTATTGCGTGCTATCGGGGGAATCCCGGGCGTGGAGCAGAGCGGAGCATTTGTATGTGGCGCCATCACCACGCGGGATGTCAACATCGCAATCCACTTTATTTTGTTACTTCTTGCTCTATATCGTCGATACGATGCCAATTATGATTTTTGGAGATACAGTTCAGTGCCAAGACATATTCATCACGCCATCCGACCTCATTACGACTCATTTGGTCGGTCATTCTCCGAAATGTCAGACAGCTTGAACCTTCCCCAATCCAAGATGTGTCGTGATATACTCGTATTCACCAAGGTTTGGCTTGAAACCCCTTCGCTTTCTTTTATAATGGTTCTAATATGTCGGTCTAGATAATACTACTACGAGTAGTATGAGAGTTCGAGACCTAATCTTCGGGCTGCCACTTTTCTCATTCATAGTCAACTCATTTACAACCCCCGAAGCTTCAAAATGCTTGGTTCTCAAACCCGGGACCTGAGAGAGGCTGCTCGCAACGATGACAACTTGAATCGATTTCTCAGCCTCACAAAGGTCTATCTGCCAAGGTTACCCAAGGCCTCTGCAGAATATTTAGTAGCCAAGGTACCGGTTGTACAGTGGTCGTCTAAGTATTCTTTCTCCTGGTTATGGAGTGATTTGGTTGCCGGTAAGTGTGCCACTTGAAGTTTTGAGTCCTTTTACAACTGCTAATATTGAATAGGAATCACGATCGGTATTCTACTAGTTCCTCAAAGCCTCGCCTACGCCAAAGTCGCAAATATCCCTGCCCGCTATGGCCTCCTTTCTAGCTGGCTACCGACCTTGATCTATGCCATCATGGGAACGTCAAAAGGTTGGTTAATCGCCTTGTCCCGTATCTCATTTTGTCAAAAGAACTTTCGCACTGACATATAATTTGCACAGATGTCACTGCTGGCCCGACCGCCATAATGGGTCTTCTCACCGGAGAAATCGTTACAGATCTCGTCAAGACAGGCTACGCAGCCGAGTCAGTCGCTACTGCAGTTGCTTTCTGGGTCGGCATATACTCATTGATTCTCGGACTCTTTCGACTTGGCTTCCTTCTCGAGTTTATTCCGCTACCTGTGCTATCTGGTTACGTTTCCGGTGCAGCAATCACAATTGTTCTCCAACAACTCAAGGGGCTATTTGGTGAAGCAAAATCTGCCAATGATACCGCTGGCGTAATCCGCGTGTTCTTTCAACGACTACCAAACACCAATTGGAGGGCATTTTTGATGGGCTTCTCTAGCATTATCTTATTACTCCTCCTACAATTCGTCGGACGCAAATGGGGCAAAAAGCACCGAATCCTGTGGTATCTCTCCATTGCTCGCAATGCTCTTGTTCTCGTTATTTTTACGGCGATCAGCTGGGGAGTTAATAAGTCACATAAGAGTGAGCCCCTGTTCGGAATATCAGAAGTCTCCGGTACTGGAATTATACCTCCATCTGTTCCTGATACACAACTACTTGTTAAGACTGCTGGTCGCAGTATCGCACCTTTTCTAGCGGCCGCATTGGAGCATCTTGCCATTGGTAAAGCGTTTGGTCGTCGCCACGGCTATGTCATCGAGCAAGACCAAGAGCTGAGCTATATTGGTGTGGCCAATTTGGTTGGAAGCTTCTTTTCCAGCATGCCTGTCACTGGAGGGTTCTCACGCACTGCGGTAAACTCAGAATCCGGGGTGAAGAGCCCTCTTAGTGGCCTGGCCACGACTGCTTGCGTTCTTGTCAGCATCTACAAGCTCACAGACGCCTTCTACTGGATCCCCTCAGCAACACTATCGGCCATCATCATCATTGCTGTCTGGCAAATTATCTTACCTTTCCAGGTTTTCTGGCAATATTGGAAAACTTCTTTTGCTGACTTCGTCGGCAGCATGATTGCATTCTGGGTAACACTCTTCGTGGACGTTGAGATTGGCATTGCCTGCGCAGTCGGGTATAGCATCGTCTATGTTCTTTTCCAGCTAGCATTCGCCCAAGTGGACATGGTGACAAGCGAAAATTATTCCCAGCTCTACCCAGCTTCAACGTATAGCGCATTACCTGCACAGCTGCCCGAAGATACAGTTGTATTTGCTCTCCGTGATTCAGTCCTTTATCCCAATGCTGCCCGCATCGCACGCCAATTCACTGAGTATATCTATTCCTATACGTCCGGGGTGCACGAAACTCCTTCAGGGACCACAGAGGATTACCAAATTGCGGAAAAATCCACGAACAGACTCTGGAATGATACCAAAGCTAGACGCATTGAGGAATTGCGCAAGAAAGCAGGTACAACGAATAACGAGGAAAGCTTCCTTCCCCACGTACGGACAGTGATCATCGATATGACGCGCGTCACCCACATCGACACAAGTGGGATGCAGGCTCTGGCAGATACCAGATCCATGTTAAAGGAGTGGGCCGGCGCAGATGCTGAACTCGCTTTTGTGGGGCTGAATGAACGAGTGAGGGAGCGATTCCAAAGAGCCGAGAAGAGCTTCGTATCTTCAAAGAGTGATAGTGGCCCTAGAGATCAAGGCTACATTGTTTTTGATGTTCTGCAGACGGCACTATATAACACCCATGCCTCTGAGGAGAGTACTAGTACGGACGTGGCTAAGAATGACTCGTCACCGGGGTCGGATTAAGCATTAGATATTCAGAAATTTCAAATGTCATGAATATCATTGAACACATGGCCTGTGGCCTAATATTGCATAAAGTAATCCACTATAGTCATGTAAATGTAGGTGTAGATGTAGTTGTGGTTAGCAGCCGCCTGCGATGACGCTGGACCAGAATTAGCTAATCGGGCTCGGCCCCGTAAACAGCGGCAGTCCGACTTCCCCCCAATGATGGAACCCCCCAAGTCGCTCCACCTTCAACTCCTCAGCAGCCATCATGTCAGCCAAAAAGATCGAGCAATATGAGATTGAGCGATATTGGGAAATCTTCGCCTCGCTTTCGAATGGTCAGCCCCACCTGAATAGCTCCCAGGCCGCCTCCGTACTGCGCAACAGTCGCCTACGCGATGACCAGCTCGAGAAGGTCTGGGATATCGCAGATGTCGACGGTGATGGAGAGCTTGATTTCGAGGAATTCTGTGTCGCAATGCGCCTGGTATTTGACCTCGTCAATGGCGTGCGTATCCCCTGCCCCTCCTCCCCTTCCTCTAACACCCCGCCCACCTGCCTGAGAGCCTTCAAGTATTGACATGGCATTGCTTCGAACAGGAACTACAAGAAGTCCCCGCCGTTCTGCCAGACTGGCTTGTGCCGGAGTCCAAATCACACCTTGTACACGCTACACGAGCATTGAGCGGCCGCCCCGAGCAATTCGAACGGATAGAGGATGAGGATGATAGCCTGGGCCTCAAGGATGGCTTCGAGTGGTACATGAAGCCAGCCGACAAGGCCAAATACGAGGAAATCTATAGCGCCAATCGCAACCCCCGTGGCCAAACTACCTGTCAGTAGACAAATTTACCCGGCGCATGGTGATCACACCCGCTAACGCTAAACTTGCGGTACTACAGTCGAATCCCTACAACCCCTATACGACTCCCTCGAAGTCCCAGACACCGATATTCGCTCCGCATGGAACCTTGTTAACCCCTCCGCCGCACCCGCCATTAACAAAGATGCCACCCTCGCCTTCTTGCACATCCTAAACTACCGACACGAGGGGTTCCGAATCCCACGTGCCATCCCCGCATCCCTCCGCGCCTCGTTTGAGAACAACCAGATCGACTACCAGGTTGACAACGCGCCAGCCCAACGTTGGGGCACGGAAGGCAATATCGAGACAACAAGCGGTCGCAAGGCCAAGTTCGGAGACTCATATCTCAGCCGACTGGGAGTGGGTGGCAAGGGTTCATACCAGCCGAAGGGTACAGATTTCAGCGAAACCGTCCAGGATGAGGAGTGGGAGAAGGTCCGGTTGCGCCGAGAGCTGGCTGAGATTGAATCAAAGCTTCAGTCTGCAAATCAAGCCTCTGACAATAGACGCGATCAACCCCGAAACGATGGCCGGCCCAACTGGGTTTTGATCAAGAAGGAAGCTCTCCAGCTGCTGGAATACAAGGAGCGGGAACTCCGGGAATTGCGTGAGGGTGTTGGACGGTCGCAAGATGGGCAGCACCTGGAGCGATCAAGGGAAGATGTCAAGACTGTTGGGGAGCAGGTCGACGGGCTGAAAAGCCACTTGGCTCAGCGCAAGGGAGTTCTTGCCGATCTTCGTCAGCAGATCGAGGAGGAGAGGTCTCGTCGATAAGTGTCGTAAGGTTAATAGCCTGGGGCCTTTTCTTCGTGCGGGTATCTTGATCTGGGTTGTATATGCTGCATCTTTCGTCTCGTTTCGTTTACAGCCACATTGCTGGCAAGGAGCTGCAGGCGCTGAATGGATTATTGTTTCACATGGTGAGCGAAGACAACATTAGTTACGTAAATAGTAGAAGAACAAGCCTCTTATAATTTCAGGCAAACAGGAATGTCTTCAGTAGATTCATAAATAAAACCAAAATTAGAACCCTGCGTTCCAAGGTTGAAGTATCCAGGAAATATCCAATATGGCTTGTTGTGGATGTAAGAAGAAGAAAGAATGAATGAATGAAATGGGGAGGCACCACCAGAATATGCAAGCGCCGAGGTTCGACCTCGCGAAAACAAGTGTTCATTGCCAGTGGATATCTCAAGAAAGACTTCAAGGTATTGTACAAGATTACATTCAAGTTGCTTCTAGATTTCAAGGCAGACAGAGCCCACGAGATCACCTAACAAATCAACAGCAAAAAGCAAAAGGACAAGATTGACCACCCTCCCAAATCTAGTATCAACGCCGAACCATAAGACCAACAAGGCCGAGTAAAACGCTTCACATTACAACCTCAAGACATCAGAGACTCTTCACCACCACGCTTAGTCTCCACAGCCACAAAGGCATGACCGGTCTTATCAAGACCCTTCTCGGCACGGGAGTAGGCCTCTTCGCTCCGATCCGTCAAGATAGCGAGTTCTTCATCCGAAAGAATCGACTGATCATTAAGCTCGAAGCGCTCGAATTCATCTTCTCCAAGAGCCTGGCGCAAATCTTCGAGCTCTTGCGCATTGGCACCACTCGTGTCCAGCAACGAGCGGAACTTGCCCTTTTGAATCACAAGGCGCTCGAGGCGGCGCTTGGAGTCTGCCTTTTCAAGTAGAGTTTGTTCTACCGTTCCTTTTGTCGCTAGTCGGTAGACAATCACGGGCTTCTTTTGACCGATGCGGTGGGCGCGGTCCTGGGCTTGCAGATCTTGTTGTGGGTTCCAGTCTGAATCGAAGAGAATTACCGTGTCGGCGGCAGTCAGGTTGATACCTTGTCCACCGGCACGGGTGCTGAGGAGGAAAATTTTGTGGCTATTGTCCGTGTTGAATGATTTGATTTGGGCCTGGCGTTCGGATTGAGCCATGGCTCCGTCAATGCGACAGCATGGCCAAGACCGGAGCTGGGTGGACCATTCTTCGATGATACTCAGCTGGGTCTTGAATTGAGAAAATATTAGGATCTTGTGTCCCCTCTTCAGGAGATGGGGGACGAGTCGGTCCAAGAGAAGCATCTTCCCGGAAGCCGACACGAGAGACTCGTCTACACCAGATGTCTCATCTGTCCAAGGCCAGTAGAAATTGTGCGGGGAATTGCAGGCCAAACGGGCCTGCAGGACAGGGTTTTGCATCTTCTTCTGTGCAATTTCTTTTTCTGTGGGAATTGTCAGTTTCAATACTATTCATTTGAGACGGGGCTATACGTACTAGCAAGCTTAATTGTCTCGGCTCTTTCAATCTCCTCGAGCTCGGTATCGCTTGGTTGGGCTTCCTCCTCCTCCTCGACTGCGATTCCCTTGTCAAGCATACGCAGCTTCGCATCGAACTCCCGGTCGCCTATTTCTTTGTAACTTTGAGGACCGCGGCGGCGGCGACTAGAGCTGGTGCTGACACTGGCACTAGCACTAGGAGTAGAAGCTCCACTTGATCGCATACTCTTGTTCGGTGTTTCGGACTCGCTGCTTTCCCGCCGTCGCTTTCGGCTTGACGAGCGAGAGAGAGTTGGGTTCTTAGCTGTCAAACGCTCCAGAGCCTTTGTTTCGAGGTATTGTCGGCCTGTACCGCTGAGGATTTCTCTGTAAAGTTCTTTTTGCTCAGATGTAAGAGGAGCGTACAAAATGTACTCGCGCTTCTTTGGAAGATCGGTTTCGACATCTGTCTTGACTCGCCGCAGAAGGAAAGGCTTCAAAATCGAATGCATTGTTGTCACGAGATTGCGCTTCCGGCGCTCGAGGAGCTCCGCTTTGCCGCTATCATCCAGTACGGACGAAAAGTCGAACCAGCTTTCGAAGCTATTTAAATCATCAAAGACTTCCGGTAGGAGGAAATGCAATAGTGACCAAAGCTCAGAGATATTATTCTGCAACGGCGTTCCCGTAATCAAGAGACGGTTGGCAGATCGATAGGCCATAAGCTCTTTGATGAGACGGCAATTCATATTTTTCAGGCGATGTCCTCGTCCTATATTTCCAATTAGCAAGTTTTGGAGCCTGTAAAATTGAGAGTCAAAATATACCACAACGATGTACCTCCATTGGTACTGCCCGAGGAATTTACGATCATTCATACAAATCTCATATGAGGTACAAATAATGGGGAAGTCCATATCTCCTTGGTTGCGCATTTTCATATGCTTTCTGCGGAGCGCTTCTCGTTCGGCTTTAGATCCATGATATAGGACCGTCTTGATCTTGGGGCACCACCTCTTAAACTCATCTACCCAGTTACTAACTGTGCTGAGCGGAGCAGCGATTAAGAAGGGCCCGGAGACATTATTCTCCTTCAGGAAAGCAATCATTGAGATGGCTTGGATTGTCTTTCCCAGCCCCATTTCGTCGGCCAGAATACCGGAGAGACCGTTCATCCATAGGGTCTTCAGCCACTCAAGGCCCTCTAGCTGATATGTGCGCATCTTGCCACCCGTGATCAGCGCCGGTTGTTGGGTCGCAACGAGATCTTGCTCGCCGATGGCAGTCGGCTTTGACTCGTATTCATCAGCTGCATTCTCCAGCACCTCCTGCACAGTGGGATTGTCTTCCTTGACCTCCACCTCGGCCTTTTTGAAGTAGTTCGAGATAGTGCCACCACCACTCTTCCTTGTTGTACGGCCTTTCTTCTGTGCGGGTGCATCGTTCGCTGTGGGGGCCTCTTCTTCGACTGCAGCTCCTGACTTTCGATTTCTTGTGCCGCGTCGGTTGGCAGTTGTGGCTGCGGGTGTGGGTGCGGGTGCAGACTTGACTTTCTCGTCGGCGGCAGAGTGGTGGCGTTTCATGGCTCGCTGTCGAGCCTCTTCCTGCTGCTTTTTCATTTTATCCGACATGAGGGCGACGAATAACTTTGTAAAACACCCGGTTAGAAACTGGTGGAAAGTAGTCAGGCTGCATAGCCCTTCGGCGGCTTACCGAACTGCTCTGCAACAAGTGCATCAGGCCCTTAGCCTTGGTATCCATGCCTTCGACATCTTCATCCTTCTTCTCTGTCGATTGATCCTGTCCAGTATTTCCCCCGTTATCTGACATAGGTTTCGTCTCTCCATTTGTGAGTTCGGTCATTGGGGACGAAGGCAAGGTGGACTCTGGCTGCATGGTGCCAGCACGGGAATCAGTCGGGGTAGCTGTTGGAGATCCGTTCGTCACCATTGCTGCTGTGGTTTTGAAGAATATTGCAGATTAAGAATACAGTGCGCGTAAGAGATTAAAGGTTGAAGGTGCGATGGGATGTCATTCCCAGGGATGAGAATTCTCGTCTAAATCAGGATTTCACCGGTTCAACGAGTGGATAACCCCCAGGGATATGAAATGGAGGTCTTGCGAGTTTAATGATGACACACGCTTAAAACACTTGAGTATCTTCGAGTCTTTCGGCAGAATCGCAAGTAGACAGCCTCGATCTCGGCGCTGGAGAAAGGTGCTTGGCGCGTGTGCGACGCGGATTTTCGCGTCCGAGCACAGACCACCTTTAGATGGGCGATGCGATCACAACGTCATTTAAGGTAAGCACCTTTCTACCCTAGTGCTAGTACTAGTAGTCTTAGTATCCGATATCTTCTAATTCATACAGCTATGATAACTCAAAAAATATCAGTACATGGATTCTTCTCACAATTGCAGTTTCGACTTTCTGCATAAATGGCTTAGACATTCATCGGCCCTTCCCACATCGTCGGAATATGCTTCTCCTCATACATACTGCTGTTCTCACGAGTTCCATCAAATCCTGCATTCCATCCGACCAGCATCGGATCCTGCTCCACGTATGGATTGAGAAGCGTGTCATTGGGGAAGTAACCGCTCGGTAAGTAGGGCATCATCCAGTCGGTTTCGACAGCGGGGTAGGGCCCAAAGAAAGTCTCGTCCAGACCGGGGAGGTTTTGCATGAATTCGGCAGATAAAACATCCTGGGAACCGCCGTACAATATCTCGTCCGTAAAACTCTGGGTGGTTTTTGGAGACCCATATGTCCCCGAAGTCTCGTATTCCATCATCCAGGCTAGGTTTCTCATTTTCATTCGCTCTGACTCCAGTCTGGCTTCTTCAATCTGTCGTTTGTATCGGGACTGTGACACGGAGGGAGGGACATCATTGAAAGACCAACACCCACCCAGAGAGCGTGTGACCGGTTCATCATCCACATGAGCACACTTGTATGTTTCTTTCGGTGGCTTGGATGGGGTTTCGTCCTCTTTGCCAGGCAATGACACATGGGGCTGATGGAAGTGAGCCTTCTGAATCTCTTTTGCTCCTGCCAACTTCACTCGTCTCTTGAATGATAGGTCACGGGGGTTGTGTAATATGCGGTCATGGAAACCGAGCGACAGTCGTGCTTCTTGTCTTGGCCCAACTTGAATTCGAGTGAATTCGGAACCATCTAAAGGCGATGACATCTCCTTTTGAACATGCTCCCGGATTTTCATACGTGCGTCCTGAAACTCATCGCGCAGGTAGAATGGAGTATGCTCTTTCCAACACACAAACGGGGAACGATCACCCTGAAAAGTATCTCGAGGGGTTTATTGTGCTGTAGGAGCCGTTCTTGAAATACATGTTTTCGGCAGCAAAGGGTATCTTATCGGACAAGGGGCCAGGTGCACAGCCTCGAATCGGTGCCTGGGGGTTGATGAAGCTGCATGCCGGTATGGTCCAATTCTCCTTCCATTGGAAGATCTCTCGTAGGTCGTGATTTTCGGTACGGGGTATAGCGGCTAGTTCGACAATAGCGCTTTCCCATTCTCCGGCAAGGTTCTCATTGAGATCTTGGTTGCGGAGGAACTGCCTAGCTGCCAGAATATCATCGGCTCGACAGAATTCGAGTTCTGGTCTAGCCATCGCAGTAAGCGAGTTTTGGAAGTCCCGAGAGATTCTGTTAAGAACGAACTGATGGGGCACAGGGCTTTGCTTCAGAATACTTTGATCTATGTTAATGAGATGGGCCAGTTGCTTTTCCCGCATAGCGGCCAGGGCTCGATCCTCCCGAGAGATTTGCTGGTCCCGCGTGTACAGACAGTGGGACAGTTTGCTTCGGTCTTCTTTATTCAGGCCGAGTTTTATGCATGAATTCTCCCAGTTGTAATGCTTAAGGAGGCCAGAGGCGATTTGTAGTTGTACGGCTGGGTTGAGGTCGCTCCATGTTGGGTTGACAATCTATTCAAACAAAGTCAGCATCCACAGCAATGCGTTAGCGGCCCAAATGGTGTTGAGGAAGCGGAATGTTTAACTTACTTTCCGTCCGAGGGCTTCTTGATCATCTAGAGGCTCACCGTCGCTGTCAGAAATGCTCAGGTTGTCGGTCACATCAAATGCCTTTATTTGTCCATCCATTGCACCCACTTCGGCCATATTGCTTCTGTGGATGAGATTGGACTCACAGTTGCTCATGGACCAGTCAATACCGAGTGAGTACTGGCCTGCTTCGGGCCTGCTGTGGGAGATCTTTTGTCTTTTGGGCCACGGCTCAGGGAAATCCGCAGGGGGCAATGTGGGATCGAATTCGATTATTTCCGGTTTGCGTGTGATCTTGACTCTGCGAAGCGATGGATTTAGGCTTTCTGACACTGTATTTGTTGGATCGGCCGATAATGACTGCTCTCGTGCCAAATGCATTGACATTAATAGGGCCGAAGTTGGCGTCTCGGTCGCGCATTCACCATATCTGACTGGGGCACGTATGGCACAACGTAGTTGCCTGTCACTATTCATGATAGGCACAGCATGTATTAGAGAGAAGACCTCCAGAAATGTGAATAATACACCCTGGTGCAGTAGGACACTCTTGCTGTGGTAAGGTTTGAAACTGACAAAAGGTCAGTAATGAGAGTCCGATGTCTTCTAGCGGCCCCTGAAAAAGCACAGCTCCCTTGAACAAGGTAGAAATACACCGAGTAAGCTTGTACAGGAGTGAGAGAGGGGTATTTGGCAGCAGTGTGCTGAAAGGGAAAGAAAATGCGATGAAGCAAGTTCGGGAAATAACGAGATGCCGAAAAAGATGAGAATAGTGAGATCTTTTCAAATGTCACAAGGTCTCTGTAGGAAGGAATAATACAGGCCAGAGGCCCAGAGTAAGTTGACCTGAGGGAAGAGACATGTGGGAAAAGATGACAACAGAAAGATTGAGCAGAAGTAAAGCGGGTCGAGTGAGGCCACACCGTTGACAGTGACGGATACTGGCCTGGCTCTAACCCGGCCCTCGAGACGGGTCAAAACAACCAGGTTTGAGAGAATGATTGACTTTAAATGTCCGGGAAACAACAGAGTTAAATTTCTGATAGATTCGGCTACTCCGACTTTGTACGCAAAGCAGTCAGCCGGTAACTATTCAACTGCAATTCAGGGTGGGCGGCGGATGCACAGATACTTCTCAAGGAATGGTTCATAAATCAGGACCAGGATACGTAGTAAAAGAAGAAGAAAACCGAGCTGGGTATTTCCGTGAAGAGCAAACGGACACATACTAGCTAAAGTGTGTTGCAGTAAAAGACCTTTTAAGAAGCAAAAGCCGAAAGAAAGAAGATGACGCCAATTTCCGGTCTAGTATCCAGATGTGAGCGCCGAAGAAGGTTCCAAGACGATTTCCACCAGACAACATATAAAATCAGGTCCGTTGTGACTCCAAGTCTCTATAGGGAGACAGTCCCGCTGCAAATATCTAGGCCACACGGTCCTGGAAAGGTGCCATCGGTCTGCGATCCAAGAGTGAGCCAACATCATCATCAATATCCATCTCACAACCAGCCATTTGGGTATCTTCAAATTGTCGATCTGCGAAACTCCGCTTCTTCGCAAGCATGACAGGGGGTATAGGCGGAGGAGCGAGGGTCGCGGCCCCTGTTTGGATATACGCGCGTCGGGATCGTTCGACATCGCGCTTGGCAGCAAGGATGGACTCGAACGAAAGGAGAATTCGGGTCATAGCATCATCAATTGAGATGCAAAAACGCCGCTGTTGTAGCATCCGTGTTGCAGGCACCGTTTCCATGTTGAGCATGGCCATAATGTATGCAATCACCACGCTAGCGGATCGTTCATTTCCAGACTCGCAGAAGACAAGAACTTTCCGCATCCGAGACGGGTCATCTCTCAGGCTTGGGATTGCAGTTGAAGGCACATCCGCGCCCGCGAGATGGTCGTTGATGCGGCGGATTGCCCTCGGAAACGTAGATATGAGCTCTTGGTTGTCAAGGACATCAACGGTATCGGCCAGGATGCCAAGTTCTGCAGCGGCCTTGTCACCAGAGACAAGCCGTGCGTGGGCGGAATGTGTATTCCGAATGGCGAGGAGAAGTGTGAATCCATGTTCTTGGAGGGATTCCCGATCGCGCAAGCAGGAAGAAGGGCCAAGGGCCAGAAACGGGAATATGAATTGAGCCTCGCGGCGCATGTCATAGCTCCACTGCGAGAACTTGAAACGACGCGTGAATCCATCAAGTTTAGCGAGAGAGAAGAATCCAGGACAAATAAAATCACCTTCCGCGAAATGGTGAGTGCTGGGCTCGAAGAGTTTGGGATCAACCACAACGACATCGGTGCCATCGTCCTCATCAGAATCAATTGCCGCCGTCAAACCAAATGTGCCGGCTGTTGTATTTGGCCCGGCAAACCTAGGCGAGGTGTTGTAATCTTGGGTGCGAACATAATGCGCCTGCCCACTCATGGACATTGGCACCTCGTTGGATACAGGCATATCGGGAGGATTGCCGTAGGAAGGAAGATCAGAGAAAGGAAGCAGACCGGGGGCACACTTTCAGAGAATAGAGGAAGAATAGAAGATAGGGAAGGTAGTGAACCTTTGGAAGGTAGTGAAGGTACTCTGAGAGGCTCACGTGCACGGTCTCTATAGAGTGAAACGAGGAAGGAGCGATCTGTCAAAGCGTGCCATTGCCTGCCGAGTTTGGCGCGATTGGGCTGCCTAAAGCTTGATTGAGAGCTTCTACACAGATTCTAGCAAATACACTCCCTCCTTAACCCTGGTCGATGAGTCCACGATGACAGTGCGAAGGAAGGCCTTGGCGGGCAGCGAGGAGAGGTTGGATTTAGGTCGGAGCTTACTAAGTCACGTAGATCTCGGCGTCATCCATGATCCACTCCAAGTCCAGCATCTGAAATCTATGGTGGTATCATTATTTTCCTCGCCTTCGAATGAGTGTTTTCATTGGGACTGCTTTATACCCCTTGGGAGCTTAACACCAATGATGAGTGGTGAGAGAAGGGTGGTGAGGGACGATTTTGCATCATCCCTAACTACGGGTTTTCAGCCTCATAGGTCCGGGAAGAGAAGGATTCGACTACAACATGAACGCAGCTCTGTAAGAGAACTCGAACTTTACACCTCAAATGATCAGCAACATGCAAGGGTAAAGCTTAAGTCCTCATTAATATTACTAAATAAGGATAGCACTAACTTGAACCACTACCTCCGAGTTCAAGTCCGGGACCATCTTACCACTGCCAGTGGCAGTTCAATATTTATCTCAATTTCCAAGTTCACAAAAGGTACTACTGGTACTAGACCCCGGATCTCCAGAGCTTGAGACTACTACTAGTACTACTAGTATAAAGACCCTCTAGTATCCCTTACTGGGATTCAAACTCTACCCAGCATATACTACTAGTAGTAATCTACCAGCGCGGAAACAGTATAGAACCTTAGAATCACCTCAGGCTGCAGGTGTTGTATTGATGGGGCCAAAGCGCTGACTACCCTAGTACTTGGAGATGAATGTCTGTTACCAGGGACAAAAATCGAGCCCTGCGATGTTGAATTATATGTCGGAGTTGTATATCACCCTCCAGCGTGGGACTCATATCACAAATAGCAACCTACCTAGTAGTATAATAGTACAGCCACGGCCCAACATCAAGATAGATAGAGTCAGATCCCCGTACGACACGAAGAATCTGATTAAATTATTCTAAATGACCCCAGTAGCCCAAAGCCAGAACAAAATAAACGCCCCTCACAGATACTAGTACCACCTGACTGCTCGGAGTAGCACGGATAGCATCCTAATTCCAAATCACAATCCGGCTGTGCAGAGCCTCATCCACCAAGTGAAAACAGAGCCTCGACTGATCCTGCCACAGTCATCTTTTACGATGACACGATCACCAACCGTCCGAGCATAAGCGGAGACCAAATCCAGCACAAATCACTTACCGTATTCGGAATATATACTACAAATCACTCGTCATCGCAAGGCATCATAGTCTTAGCTTGAGCTCTAGCTCCAGTTCGAGCTCGAGCTTTGGCCCCGACCCCGACCCCGACCCCAACGCCCCATCAGACATCTCCTCTTGAGGTTCCCCTCACGATGACAGGCGGGTAGGCGGACACCTCATTAAACCCGTGAAGATGCCGCGCCTTGGCCCCGTCAAGATGACTCGCGTTTGTCAGCGAGGATCACCGGCTACCGTTTGTGAGTCATTCGTATTCCGAGGTTGCCGGGTAGTAGCCTCGTGGGATTGGAGACTAGCTATGAGGCAAGGGCCGGAAGGGTGAGGCTAGATGCTAGTCGTAGGGGCTAGATGCCCGGGCGGCGGTCGGAGATAGATGGGTCCGTTCCGTTATATGTACGGAGCTAAGAATGGGGGCCGGATGCCTGAAGTTGGCTGCCTGGATTCCACATGGGATTCTTAGCGGGGCTGGTGCGTTCTGGTGAGCCTGACTTTGCCTGATGATATTCGAAGTATACGATACAAGCCCTGCAAGTAAAGGGAAAAAATCGACAGAAATCCCTGAGATAGGAGACCAAGTTTGATTTATCAGCTAGATGATGTATTATTCAAAGAGTGGAGTGTGGAGCGGAGATTAAAATCGATCACAAGCTGATCGTTGATACGACGGAGTTTCATTGAGATGGGATATTGTAGGCGAAGAGACAGGTCGTCAAAGACCTCGCTCGGTGAATAGATGAGAAAAGAGGTGTGGAGAATTGAGAATCATATGATAAAGCAAAACACTGAATGGTACACCGGGGTATAGTATGAGGAAACCCAAAATTAGCAACCTCCACTGGAAAAACTGGGATCAAGCTCAAATAAAACGCCATAGTACCATATCGACTTGCGGGTTCGCAGCGGAGCCCAGATGCAGGGAATGGAGGAGCAAGAATAAAGGGGGAAAAAGCAAGTAGCCAAGAAACTATTTTCTTGCTTCGGTGAACGCCCAGGGAATGCGACGAAAAAAGAAAAATAAGGAATAAGGAAAACACATTAAGGGAAGATAGCACTGCCACCAGGACTAAACCTGTGGAGCGGCGGCCTGGGGAACAGGAGAAATCGCCTGTGGGAGTGTTTGAGACTCGGGCTCCGGTGCGGGGACTGGTGGCTGGGCGAGTGTCTGTTGCAGGCTGAGCACGATGCGCTCAAGGTCCAGGAGGCGTTGATCCTTTTCTTGATTTTCGCGGCGCAGTCGCTTTACCTCGTTGTGTAGATCGAGACTGACTTCGTCGGTTTCCGGCAGGTCTCCGTTGGGAGATTCATGCCTGCGCTTAACACCGGCAGCCGGGAGGGAGTTGGACCTGATTCCTTCAAGCTCATTGGCACGGTCCCATGGGCTCTCAAGCATGATGGCAGGTCCATCGTCAGTGTGCATGTGGCGGCGGCGAAGATGTTCTCGAAGATTCTCCTGGCGTGTGAATCCATTCCCAGTGCTGCGGTTACAATCGCCGTACGGGCACATCAATGGCTTCTTGGCGTCGGTGTTCTTCTTGTGGACTTCACGCTGGTGGCGAAGGAGGCCGCCGGAGTAGGTAAAGCCTTGAATCTTGTCACAGCCGGGTTCGAAGCATTTGTAAGGGCGATCATGTTTATCCATATGTTTGCTGGTGTCGGAGTTAGCGGATGTACGGTCGCGAGGAGAGGGGGGGATTTGTCATTAATACTCACTTCCATTCGCAAGGACGACGGAATGTCGGGGGCGCCTCCTGACAATCAATATGGTCGCAGAAGATCTGACCTTCGGAGTTCTTGGGGGGATCACGGGCGCGTCGGACGGAGAGGCGAGGGCGCGTCCCTTCGACGTAACCGGCAATAGAAGTGGGGGGTTGTTCGTTCATTCTGGCAATTGAGGACAGGCCTTCTTGAGCGTGGGCCGAGGCAAGGACCGAGGCAGTAGTCGCACTGTGCGGAGCTTCACTTCGCGGACTAGGGTAGTCAGAGCCGTCTATTCCCATATCCAAATCGCGGACTCCACACTCAGATCGGAGGGGGAGTAGATAGAGTGATGAATACCGGCAAGACGCGTCAACCGATGACTCAGGAGAAAGCACAGAGAGGGTGGAAAGGATCGCCGTCGTCAGATAGGATCGGTGAAGCAAAACCCTTAGATCGGGGAGGGAAATGGGTTCAAATAAAGAAATCGAAGAACGGGGGATCTTGATGGGGGGAGCTAGTTTGGAAAGTGATGGAAGTGCCAAATTTTTCAGGTAGCAAGAAAGGGGTGCCTTGGGGTGCCTTAATGCCCTCCTATTTATACCTTTTATGCCTGGGTTGACCGCTTGCAGGAAGGTGGATCTGCCGTGGCTGAATGTGGCGCGCTTGTGATGTGGCGCGGAGTTGCCGATAAAGCTGAGAAGTATGTAGGGTACGCCAGGGCAATATGCACAATGCAAGCAGATTCTTCAGTCTGAACTAGGAGCTAAACTTGAAAATCTCAGATCTACGCGCATGTGGGATGTGTTGTTCCTTTTTATTCCCCCACCTATCTCCCTCATCCACCTCTCGGCCTGAACGAAGTGTGGCAAGAATGGAAGTGCCATGACTCATAGCATGGCGGCTTAGCTAGACGGGATCTTTGGGTTAATACCGGCGCAGAACAGTCAGGCAGCCATTTCCCGGTTAAAACCTGTCTGTTTAATTGCCACACGTGCCTGACAAATCCGCAGAGTGGAATGCTCGGGAATCGGTGAAGTGAACAACGCGTGGCGGTGTATGCAGGTGTTGTCCACGTGACCGGCAGGCGATCAGGCATCGAGAAATTAAGAATTAAGCGCGCGCTGTTCGCCAGTCTACACCTGACCTGCACTGCACAGTAAGGGTTGGGCACCCTAAGAGTTAGGCTCCTATGAATTCAAAATGAACCCACCAGTCTATTGCAGAAAGCTTGCGAATCTCAAGGGCTATGCATTCTAAACATAGTGTTCAAGATGCAATGTTTCGTAGATTTGGTTGCTGCGCAGTGGATGTCGATTAGTCTCAAACAAACTACTTAGGCTACAAGATTCATAATTTGCCCAGTAGCTCGAAAGCATTGCATGGCAGGGTATGACAGAGTACGCAATACCAGGGCAGAGCAGGGAAAATCTCATGATTGACCATGGTCCATGGCCAACGAACAAAAACATCAAAGCTTCAGCTCGTCCCGCCCCAGAGCCTGCCACTGGTCAACACGCCCCAGCACCCACCGGATTTCTTCCGCCACCACGTCCGGGCGTGTCAAATGAACGTTGTGGCCACACTCCGGCAGGTAAACAAGATGCGTATTCGATGAGAGCTGAAGCTGCTCTTCTTTAGCATCCTGGTCAATCAACGGCAAACGATCCAACAGCCTTCGAAACGCCTGTCTCTGCTCTGTCGTCCCATTGCCCGCCTCAATTCCCGCCTCGTAGATGCGCTCAAAGTCCCGTATACCACAGCGAATCACACTCACAGGCCGATCCCGCATCGCCCGGTTCTGAAACTGTCCTTTGTCCCCAAGCGTGCGGCAAACTATATTCAGTGCATGCGAATTAGCTTCTGTCTGGGCAGCAGCGGCAGCCCCGCGCGAAATATCAATCGCTCGTTCCCTCCACTCATCTCGCGATAGTCTCGCTTCTTGCCGAAGCCCTGTTACCTGCGCCACCCTGAGATCGCCCAATACGGCATTGATATCAGGATCCGGGAGACGAAAATAGTCACATTGGCGCTCGGTGGAGCCATCAGCAAGGATCATTCCTGCAACGTCACTGTCATAGAGGTGGAGATACTCGCGGGCAATGATCGCCCCGTATGAGTGAGCAACGAGAACGAGTGGAGGTTCTAACTGCATTGTTTCAAGAAGGCTGTGTAGTTCTCTTGCGGCCGTAACTGCCGGCGATATCGATCCTGATATCTGTGGGGAATGGTGATCTGGGGACCCGAGGAAGTAGTAGTAGTACTAGGGCTCGATTCACTACGGCCAAGGCCGGAGCGATCATAGAGCAAGATACGACATGACGAAGAAACCAGCGGTGAGAGGGCTTTGTATGAAGATGCGGCATCCCCAGCTCCGGCGATAACGACTACCAGCGGATCCCGCGGGCTATTACGCGGTGGCCCAGTGACAGAGACCCATAGACGGTGTGAGCCGATGGAGATCAGCGATGAGCCTGTCTCTACTCTCCAATTCTGGGGCGGTATTGTTGTCATGCTGGGTTCTCCAAGCTGATTTGAGTTGGGCGTTGATGATGAAGCGGGGCAGAAAGTCTAGCCCTAACTAAGTCTCCAGTGCGACAGACGACAGACAACAGGTGGGGGCGGATCGACGAGTTAGTGAGTGCAGGATGTACATTCTAACTATTTCGGGGGCCGTTGATCCCCTCAGCCACTGCTGGGCACCCCCGCAAATTTCCAAGGTTTCTAGGCCACCACAAATACTATATTAAGAAAGTGCAAAAATGTGGCATGAGGGTTCTAGAAGACATTTAGATCGCTTATGCATGTGTGATTCGCTAGACTATCAGGGCCCAGAGTGAAAAAATAGAACTGGCTGTGTTGAGACTTTAGAATACTAGCTTCTTGGTATGCAGCGATTCTGCCAAATGGGCACGGAGATTTCCGTTTGACTGAATATGGTGTTTTCGTGACGTTATTTCTCCATGGCTCTACTCGGGGAGTTCCGGGTTGGAAGAATGGGTTCTTAGCAGGGATCATAATCCATGACTGCCCACCGTATCATGAGATACTGAAACGGGCTGGGGCTAAAATGATGCCAACTAATGATATACCGGGGGAGAAGTATTAGGTAAAAGCATACTGGGTTCGATTGTGAAGGAAGACGATAACTAGCTACCTGTGTAACATGGAGTGCTAGAAAGAACCGAGCCCAAGAGGGGCAAAAGAATTGACAAAGTCGCCTGCTAACTACTAGCTACCGGACCCGTTGTGGGCGGGCAACCGGCATTTTTGTTGGGGCATAGGTCATGAATCGATGTTTCAAGACCAATACCAGTCGCCTAAAGCCCACTAACTGCCGTGTAGAATAATATCTCGACACGGTGACGATAATGGTGATTTGTTAAGAACCAAGGGGTACCATACTCTTGAGCGGACGACAAACAGTGGTCTCAAGTGGGAGTGCAAAAGAAGTTTGGTTGCCCGAAGAGTAGCGGACCAATCTTGGCCTCACCGATCTGGAGCCCAGGTCGGTATGGAAGATATGGACGGGCAGGACTCTGGTGGAAGTAACGCTGACATTTCGTGGGAGATTCTTGTTTCCCCAGGATTATGAGCGAGGGCGGGCCTGTTGGAGGTACCCGGACATGATGTGGCGTTGGAGGGCTTCATTCAGTCATAGTTGCCACCAACCTGGCTAGCAAAGGCAGTAGAGACACTGCGAGCGTCATCGTCATCGTGAACGTTGACACCCGGGCGAGTGACGCGAATGCTGGCAGAGCTACCTCCGAAGATACTACCGTTGTCTGGAACACCAACACGATAGGGCTCACGTCCACCAGATTCCACGTAGCGCTTCAGACGATCGGACTGGCTTAGACTGGGCTGCTTGCTCATATCATTGATACTCAAGCCTGTCAGGCTCACTCCACCTTGGTCAGCGCTCCTTCCATCGACAATGCTTCCAGTAACATCAGATTCCGTAGCAGCCACGGACTCTCCAGCAACGCTGGGGGCGCCCTTGGGCCGGCCGCCATTAGCTCGACGGCCCGATAGCGTCGGCCACTGGTCGGCGAAGTTCTGGAACATCGGAGGATATCCAGAAGGCAGGCCAACTCCGCCTAGGGTAGAACCGTGGACAGAAGAAACATCGTCAGGGATATAGCCGACAACGGAGCCAGAATCATGATACTCGTTGCGATGACCATTGCGGCCATTGACAGGGGCATTGTTGGCGTTGGAGGCTTGGCTGAAGGGCATTTGGAAACGCTGAGGGCCACGGTAGGCCTGCTTAGGCCGGCTGAATTGAATCAACGATTCCTGCAAGTTTGACAGAGGTCCCTCCACCAGGCAGTGCTGCTCCTTGAAATGCTGTAGAAGGTTGTTCCATAAAGGATGCTTGGAGAGCACCTTCGGGTTACCCAAGATGACCAAGCCGTATCGGGCTCGTGTAAGCGCGACATTGAGACGACGGGGGTCACTCAAGAAACCAATGCCCTGATGGTCATTGGAACGCACGCAAGAAAGAATGATGTAGTCTTTCTCCCGGCCCTGGAATGCATCAACCGAAGCAGCTTCGATTTCCTTGTAGTTCTCCTTCTTGAACGTTCCGTTCGCCTGCATCGAGCTTACGATATAGCTTCGTTGGCCTTCATATGGAGTAATGATACCGATACTCTTAGGCTGCACACCTGCCTTGAAGAAGCGGGTGACAATCTTCTCGACATTTGTTGCCTCAGTACGGTTAAGGTAGGAGGTTCCTGATGCCGAGATTTCCTCGTTGCCCAAGTTTGACCAGAACATCATCGGGTTGTCCATCATGGGCCAGGGGAAGTCAACATCACGACGAAGGCGATCATGGACGGTAATACCGTTTTGCAAAGAACCCTCGTAGAACATGTTCGAAGGGAACTCGGAAAGACCTGGGTGCATACGATACTGGACATTCAGTCGGATAGGCGAGCAACCAAGGATGACCAGGCGCTCAAAGAGAGATTGGTTCAGTCCAGCCTTGGCTGCCTTCTTGTTCATGATCACAGGGCCAAGCTGCTGGTGATCACCGACCAGAACGACTTGCTTACAGCCCAGGACTAGCGGAATCATACACTCTGGTTCAGCAGATTGAGTCGACTCGTCGATCAAAACAGTTCGGAATTTGAACTTGGCAAGACGGGGATCACCTGCACCAACGCAAGTACAGCAGATGACATCCGCGTTGTTCAAAATTTCCCCGCTCCGCTGAGCGAGTCAGCTGCTTCAAACGCTTTTCATCCTGACTGGAAAGCTCGCCCAATTCTGATTTCAGCTGGTTTAATTTCACCAATTCAATGTTGCTATCGTTCAGGCGAACTTGCTCATGCAAAGAGAGGAATCCGACAGGGGATTCCACGTCCTCTCGAGACTTGGCAGTCACACGCACGGTCTTCAGACCGGTTCGGTGGATACGCTCACAAAGCTGGTCCACGGCAACGTTGGATGGAGCACACACCAATACCGTACCTCCATTGATCTTGGCTAGATGGTAAATGATTGTGGCGGAAGTGACAGTCTTACCAGTTCCGGGAGGGCCCTGAATCAAACTCAAAGGCCGCTGAAGCACGCTCTTGACGGCATTGATTTGACTGCCGTTCAGATCTGGGAGACCAGGAACGCTGAATTTCTTGGGAATTTGAGTCTTCATTGGGGCAGCCGCAACCTCGTGACCAAGGAGACGGTGGAAGATGTAACCCGAAACACTCATTTCATCGACAGCAAATGTCTTCATAGCGAGCTGCATGCGGTCGAATGAAGTCGACTTCCAGACATAATCGGCGGTGAAGTTGTGTGTGCACTCCGTGGGTACTGATTTGTGATCGCCTTTGGAGCGCAATTCGATAGTGACTTCGTCGGACTGGTTGTTTGGGATTTTGATAACGTAGCCAACGCCTTCCCACTTGGATCGCAATTCCCCAGTGTACTTCAAGCGCATCTCATCGCCAACTGCCAACTTTACGTCTCCTAGTTCAAGTTTGGGAAGAACAAAACTAGCAAGGTGCTTGTTGTTAAGACCAAGATCCCAACGAACAATAAGGCCATCTTGGGACTGGGATTCCTTGAGCTTGCGGTCGTAATCAGCCTCGATCTTGACGAGAGGACCGAAGATATTTTGATACTGGTAAGCATCATCGTAACGCAGGAGGACCGGGGCGGGCTCATCGTCAACGGCTGTAGCCTTCTCCAAATCATCCAGGGTCGCTTGGGAGTTCTCTTTCCACATTTCCTCCAGCTTCGCGATCAGTTGAGGGCTGAGGTGGCGAGCGCGGAGTTGTTCTTGATCAGTGGGCGCGCCCACAAGCCAGGGCAAGAAAGAGCGGTCCTCGATAAGTGGCTGCCAGCGCGAGGTATCCCAGTTCATATCCTTAGAAGACGGCATGGCCGCACATGGCTGACGACAGAGAAGAACGACGACCGTGTCGGATTTCGCAGGGATGAAGCCGAGCAGGAAAACATTCTTGGTACCGCAGTTGTAACATTCGAGGATGGTATCACCAAGGGAAGAATCCGCGTGAAGTTGAACTTCCTTGTGACGAGCACGAACAAGGTGATTGACGATGTGAGAAGAGGAGGTGTTGCCGCGAGCGCTACAGAACCATTTGTTGCAAGAAAGACATTTCACAACACTGCTAGGGTTATGAATGCCACAGTACCTGATAAAGACTTGTTGTTAATATCTGCGATCACACATGTATCGTACCGTTCAAAGATACTCACGCGCATGCATGAGCAGGGAGCTCCTTCTCTTCCTCCGCATATCCCTGGCTTTTCTGGTTTCCGTTGGCGGGACCTCCGATAGTGCTCTCCAAGTCGTCATCTTCTAGGATATCCGATCCTTCATCTTCGTCATCGTGCCGACGTGGTCGAGCTCTGCCGAGAGCAGCATTATGATCATCCAGCTGAGAGTCATCCGCCAGGCCTGGGGGGTAGGAATCCATGGTGGATGAAGGTTGTCAAAAGTTGGCCCAGAGTGAAGCGAGCAAGAGAAAGGTGAGTTCAAGGTGAGAAAAACATGCGCTTAAAACCAAGAGGAAATTTCCGAGTCGTAATCAAATGAGCGTAGCGGACAATCCGGTCATCCAGTGTGAATCTTAAAGGCCCGCTCTGACTGTGTGGTGCCTGAGGGGCAAAGGAACGGTTATCTAAAAAGGACCAGGTGAAATTAGTGAGGAAAAGGAGTGGACATGGACAGTAGGAATAGGCTCACGTCACGTCCAGCTCTTTGTCATAAAAAGGCCCGACAAAAGAAAGTCGAAAAGTCTGGGTGGACAAAAAGCGCCTCCGCATCTGCGATCCGGATTCTCTATCAGTGGGATCCCACTACGGCAGGCGGAAGCCTCCATCTGCGCAGCCCCGGAGTTTGCAAGAAAAAAAAAGTTGCCCGCCTCCAATCTTTTTGGAGATCATCTACATTTTGCAGCCACACTTTTTGCAACATGTTGGTATGTGTATACCACTTGCTCTGGGATTTTCTGCATATTCTAACTTTCATAATAGCGCCGACAAACCCGCGAACGCCGTGATTATCTCTATCGGAGAGCCCTGCTGCTCCGCGATGCCTCTATCGCCGAGAAGCGAGCCCAGCTCAAGGCCTCTCTCGCCTCTGGAAAACCTCTAGATCCCACGATCGCAAACGACAAGTCTCTTCGCGAAGATTTCAAATACGATGAATCGAAGGGCCAGGATGACGAGGTGGATATTGACGACGAATACGCCTTGACGTCCGGCGTCATCGACCCCCGGCCTTTGGTCACCACATCTCGCTCGCCTTCTGCTCGTCTCGGCGCTTTTGCCAAGGAGATTCGACTTTTGCTTCCCACTGCCATTCGCCTCAATCGTGGTAACCTCGTTCTTCCTGACCTCGTCTCAAGCGCAACCTCCGCTTCCTTGACCGACATGATTCTTCTGCACGAGCACCGTGGTACACCTACCGCCATGACTATTTGCCATCTTCCCCACGGCCCGACTGCCAGTTTCTCGCTTCACAACGTCGTTCTTCGCGCCGATATTCCTAACTCCGCCCGTGGTACTGTCTCGGAGAGCTACCCCCACCTGGTCTTCGAGGGCTTCACCACAAAGCTAGGTACCCGCGTCGTTCAGATTCTGAAGCACCTTTTCCCTCCCCGTGAAACCGGAAAGGTTGGAAACCGTGTCGTCAGCTTCGTCAACAAGGAAGACAGCATTGAGGTCCGACACCATGTTTTTGTCAAGACCGGATATCGGGACGTTGAGCTTGCTGAGGTCGGACCGCGCATGACGATGCGACTCTTCGAAATCCGGGGCGGTACCCTCGAGAAGGGCTCCAGTGGTGACATTGAATGGGCGCTCACTCAGTACACAAGGACTAGCAGAAAGAAGGATTACCTCTGAAGTGTCCACGAATTTTCATCATGGTGTCGATTGCAGGCGTGAAAAGATATGGCATATGGGATTTTTTGGCAATTTATTGGTCAATTAACTGGCGCATCGGTGTTAAGGGTTATTAAAAAGCTCCTGTTTTACCAACTCATGTACTTAGACTCTTATTTTACCTTCATAACAATACCCTATGGGAATGAGATAGGTTGGTGGTGACAAGTCCCCGGCCTTTTCAGTAATGCGAAATAAGAAATTTGTTGAAAGTTCTGACAGCATACTGGGTATTTCATTGAGTAAGAGTAAAACTTCAAGGGTTAATAATTAGAGAGAAGCAAACATAGCGTCATTCAGAGTGAGCGAAAAACACGGGTGAACATAAGAGTGAGCGAAAGACACGGGACACAAGAACGGCCGGATCAGATTTCTAGCTCAAGCCAGGTGAACCATCCAATCATCTTGAGAGACTCGGGAGAAATATTCCAAGGTTGGTCTCCGTCTCTGGAGGTACAGGGGAGCGTCGCAGAAGTTTTATTATTTATTTTTTACATGAGATGTAGAGTTGAGTATCCGGATCACAACGTATCGACATGTTATCTCCACCTTGCGGTTTTGGGACGATGATCCTTTGCCGCACGCGTGTTTGGTAACGCAGGCGGTTGTTGTTCAAGGCTGGAAGAGGTAAAACGAGTTCGAGTGCCTCAAAATATGAGCTCTGGGACTCTCGAATTCACTGCAATAGTAATGGCGAGCTTTACTTTGCCCTCCCCATTTGCGAGACACCACGGCGTATCAGCCCGCAGCTTGTTCTTGAATTCTGAGACTCCGACTTCAATGACAAGAGATGGCCATCGATTTTCAGGGGTGAGAGGGTGAATAGGGCGAAACTTGAAGTTGGTTGGGGTGTCGAGTTCGAGCGAGGTGCAGTAGGAATCATAATATACTACTAGTACTAGTACTACATCCAGGGAGATCTAAGGCAAGAGCGCTCGTGGACCTGCTGTGACGTACTCTAAATACATACGGGAAAGTATAGTGGTGATTGCCATACTACTAGTAGTATATTTTGGATATACGGTCGTTCTTTCCGTGTTATTCAAGTTTGGACTTCAAGTTGTTGACGGCGGGAAGGTACAATGGTCTTGCCCAGGTGCAAAAGTTGGAAACTTCCTATTGCCCACCATTCAAGTTATCAACTGCCTTCTAATGGCAGACTACTAGTAGCTACCTACGATGGAATATATTGGCTACTCCATTCCATCTTGGGTAGCTAATTGTTCCCCTTGGGGGGGGGCAGAGATCAGGGCGCTCAACTAGTCTCTAGCCTTTTTAGTTTACTTATACCTCATACTACAGCCTGGGTCAGAAACTACTACTTGTATAAATCCTATGGCAGCTCTCTATTTATTGATACCGGTACTAATTACCTTAAAAAACTTCTAAGTACTGAATGAGCAGTTTCCTACTAGATTCAAATCCCACTGGCAGTGTCCAGGTAGGACCTCAGGATCGTGATACCTTACTAGTGGTTGCTCAAGGCTTTCCCTACACTACTTAGTAGGTACTCAAGTACTCCATACTATACTTATCACCAAAAATCTATTGAAAATCACGCACTGCTTGGAGGTATGTCAGATTCAATTTGAGATACACTGCAAAATGAGACCGATATCGCCCTGTTTTCGTTAGCCGCAGCTTATTATTTCTTCTCGCATCCTCGCTAAACCCTAGAACATGACTCTGAATATCAAATGCCCAGTGATCCTTCGCTTAGCCTCTCGTCCGATCGTCATGTTATTGGCTTTTATCATCTCTTCTCAACTACCTCGGTCTGCAACAACTTCAGAGGGCTCCTCTGCTGTGTTAATCTTTTCCTCTGGCTTGTTCGTAGTAGATGGTCCGAATTCCATCAATATGAGCGATTCCAGCAAGACATGACCCTCGCTCAGTCCCTCGGAGGGTCCATCTAGGTTCTTTGTGGCACTGTCACTGGCGGGCTGTTCGGGCACTGGATTGACTGTATCCTGAACGTCGACTTGAGTCGGGCCGCAGGGATCCTGGTAGCTCTTCAGGTAATCCGTAAAGATGTTTTCGTAGATCTCCATTGCATACCAGCCCTCATGCGCAGGCAGGGGCTCTCCAGCGTCATTGCATTTGGGCAGTGGCATCTTTTTATCGGCTCGACTTTCCCATTCCTTGCCAGTTTTTTCTTTGAAGAACTCGGCAAAGGCTTTCATGGCAGCGGAAAGGTTCTTCTGTGCAGGTAAGAGGAGGTGGACTTTCGACGTACCAACCCGGCTGTACTTTGCATAAGTGCTGTAGCTGGGTTGTTTTGCAAATGATTGCATGATCTATATACTTGTCAGTAAGCCACAACTTGAATAGCCTGAAGAGACATATTAGAGCATACCGCCAGCTGGTACTTCTCACGCTGGCGCGGGGGATTGCAAGGCCGCACGATTGTTGCTTTCCAGAGATCTCCATTGTCAGGTTCTTGATAGACTCGGCCTGGCGATGTCTCACGTCAGTGAAATCAACAGACAGGGAACGAATGTGACTTTAGATACCTCGATTCGTTCCCTTCGCTCCTTTGGTACCCTTCTTTGGCGTTGGTAGAAATGGATCCCCTATTCGTAACGCAGTTAGGAAAAATATTGATGCCAGGAAAGCACATTCACGCACATATTTTTTGCGGGGATTTGGACACCGCTGGAGACTGTGCAGTTGCTTCATTCGTTTTCCTTTCCGATAAGAGATTCGACCAGAGATATGGAGCCTCTTTCAGGGGCCGGCGTGTTTTAGAAAGTAGGGAATCCTCAAGCCAGTCAAAGGAGACGATCTTGACATTTTTCAGACTCTTGGCTTCTTTGACTGTGATTGATTAGATTTGGAAGTTGTTCAAATACAATAACGAAGTGAAGATAGAGAAAACTTACCCACTTCAACATTTTGCTTGTAGGCTTCCTTTGTAGTGACGAGATGTGTTGTTCTGCTGTCAACGTTCTTCGTGTAGTCGCCGCCATTGGCTCGAACCCACTGGGGGATCTTGTCTGCATCCTGGAGTTTTCCCACCGAACAGAGTCTAATTTTCTCAAATGTCTTGCCCATTTTGCTCTTAGCTGGCGAAAAGTGATGATCAAGTCAGCGCAAGCTTTTCTAGTAGATTAAAGGCGTATGGAAAGACAAGCGGTTGGGGAACAGTGTAGAAAGGTGGCTTACCAAGAATGAAGAATCTTGAGTATTGATTCGAAGGACAGCTGGTGAGAGCCTGAGATGGTAGTAGTAGTAAAGCTCCCCAGGTGATGACGATCTGGCTCGGCCAGGGATTGGATTTTCAGCTAGAAGCTGACGATGGAGTAGATGTAAGAGGAAGATGAGAATTCAGGGTAGATTCATGTGACAACGTAGATAGATCCGGTGGAGATGCAAATGGGATGTTACAAAGGAAAATAAGGAAAGAGACAAGAAGGGAGATAGTTGACATGCCGAGAAGTGAATTGACAAGTATCTAAAAGATAACCGAAAGATTGGGATTTCTATGAACAAGAATTGAACTAATTGTGAGGTGAGAAGAGAAGTCACCTAGCACTGGCATGAATCATGAACGAACGCTTTTGGCCGCTTTTACAAAGGCACGGATCTTGTCCAGATCTTGTGAGCCATTTGTTTCGACACCAGAGCTGACATCCAGTCCAACCACCTTGGATCCCGCTTTGCCAAGCTTGGTAACAGTGTCGACGACGTTGTCGGGGTTCAGACCACCCGCAAGAATGACCCGCAAACCTTCATCGCTTTCAAGGACCCTTTGTACGCCCGCCTCCTCCAGAAGTTGTCCAGATCCACCGGCACCGGAGTCCAGCAACGGAAGTGTGTGGTAGGCACGGCGCGCAATTCCAATATCGCCTGGCGCGAATTTGCGAATCACAGGCACAGGAATCAAACTTGCCCACTCCAATGGTTCTGAGCCGTGGAGTTGAACAATATCAAGTCCCAACTTTTGTTGTTGCGAAAGCACGTATGACAGCGGCTGATTCATGAACACACCGACAAGTTGTGCACGAGAGGGGTGACGCAGCACATTAATCGAGTTTTCGAACCATTCCGTTGAAGTTGCCTTCGAGGCAGGCTCTGATCCAAGCACCGGTCGGGGTGTAAACTTGACAACTTGAGAGATACGGAGAGCGACGTCGTCTGGTACCAGTCTTGACCTGCCCTGGACCATGATGATGCCGATCAGATCAGCACCGGCTTCGATGGCGGCCTTGGCGGCTTCCTCAGATCGGGTGCCACAGATCTTGACCAAGGGCGAGCTTGATGACGCGGAAGTCTTGTCAGTGGATCCACCAAGAAGTTGCGCAACAAAGGCCGCTGTGTCTGGAGCCCGCATCAGAGCCTCTCCAACCAGGATGGCCTTGACACCCTCACTCTTGTATGCCTCCACATCCTTCGGACCCGTGATACCACTCAGAGCGCACACAATGGTGCTTTCCGGCACTTGATCCATGAGACGACTTGTGGTACCGAGATCGACTTCAAAGCTAGTCAAATCCCGGTTATTGACACCGATCACTTGCGAGCCGAGATCGACCGCAATCTTCATCTCCTCGGGGGTGTTAACTTCGACAAGAGGCTCCATTCCCAGACTGCGAGAGTAGTTGTATAGGCGTGTGAGAAGTTCGGTGCTAAGCATCTTCACAATTAACAAAACAGTGTCAGCGCCGGCAAGACGCGCCTCCAGAATTTGGTATTCATCAAAGACAAATTCTTTGCGTAGAATGGCCGGTCGGTTAGTGAACCCCTCCAGGCTCTGGCGAACTGCACGAAGATCATCAATAGTACCCTTAAACCATTCGGGTTCGGTCAAAACAGAGATTACACTGGCGCCAGCTTTGGCATAGTCGCGTGCTTGAGCGGGGGCGCACACGTCCGCGGAAATGATGCCCTTAGAGGGAGATGCTCGCTTGATCTCGGCCATCAGAGATAGAGGATAGTCCGATTGTCTCAAACGGTCAGGGAACGAGATCTGTGGCGGCGCGATGTTCAGATCGTAAGCAGCCTGAAGAGCCTCGGGGCGTGATGCATGGATTTTCTTCTGCTCATCAACGGCGTTTCTACGATGAGCATAGATCTTATCAAGAATGGAGAGCTTCTTGTCCGCGGGAGCAGCGGGCTTAGCGGCGTCCTTGACTGGAGTCGCGAGACCCTTGTTGTTCCCAGCCCAGGTGCCCGAGGTGAGCTTGAGGAAGTTCTTAAACATTGTTCGCCCATACTCGGTCAAAATGCTTTCCGGGTGGAATTGGACGCCCTCCACTGCAAGTTCCTTGTGTCGGATTCCCTGGATGACACTCTTACCGCTACCGTTCTCGAGCTCAGCCCACGACGAGACCTCCAAACAGTCCGGGATGGTCGAATGGGTTCCGGCAAGTGAGTGATAACGAGTGACGGAGAGGACAGTAGGCAATCCCTCGTAGACTCCCCGAGCGTCATGCTTCAACACCGATGTCTTGCCGTGGAGGATCTCACCCGTCACATCGACCTTGCCTCCGAAGGATTGAATGATACATTGCTGACCCATGCATACACCGAAAATAGGAATTTTCCCGCTGAAGTGCTTAATCGCAGCATTGCTAATTCCCGCATCGGTTGAGGGGTGTCCAGGTCCGGGGCTGATCACTAGCTGAGTAGGCTTCTTCGCAACCAAATCCTCCACAGTGGTTTCGTCGTTGCGGATGACAGTGACTGTGGCACCCTCGAGCACCAAGTATTGGTAGACATTCCACGTAAACGAGTCGTAGTTGTCGATAAGAATAACATTGGAAGCGCTATCCAGGCGGGCAACCTTGGTGGGATGGTGGGGTGAATGGTCGACGAGATCTGCCATGGCTGCTGTAGGTGGTCGTGGAGGGGAAGGAGAGGAGGTGGCAGATGGAGAGTAAGACCCGAATTGAAAGTACCTCACTGTAATGATCGGATCGTCGTAATCGTCGTAATCACCAAAAAGCAAAGAACCAAGCCAACTGATTGACTCGAGTGACTCAAAAGGACCGACATATGGTTGGGTTCGCAAACCTTCACCGCCCAACACTAGTCCCAGATAGGCAATGCGGATTGTTTGACTTCGCGCCGCGGTGAAAGATGTTTTTCTGCTGGAGCTCCCCGAAAGCTATCTGAGCTATCATTGTGATCGATCCTGTTGTCGCCTTCTCTTTCTCACTCGTCCTCACTTTATCCTCTGGTCTTATGATGATCTAATTGTCCTGCCAAATGGCTCCCATCCCGGAGGCCTATTTCCCGTCCCTGGACAAGTGCTTCTCCGGGGACTCTCAGCTCTTGTACGACCTCACTGACCTTCTTGGGTTGAAATTTGATACTGATCGTTTGATAGGTCCTGGAAGAATGCATTTCTCTATACGAATGACGCCGAACGCCTGACCGACGATGTAGACAATGTCGCCGCCTTCCTTTCGCACCCCGACAGCACTCAGCAATTATCCCAGAGTCTGAGCCCTTTCTCCCGCCCTTCCGCGAAATCTAAGTCCGAATTCGAGTCCAAGACCGCCGCAATCCATGCCGAAACGAATTCGAAAAGCTCATTCGATCTGAAGGAGATCAAGGCAGATGCGCAATGGCTCAGTCAGACCGCCAATATCGACGAGATTACCGCTCTGCGCATCGCTATCCTCGAATGGCAGGATCGCCCAGCCGCACGTCTCACAACTAAGTTTCCCAATGAGGAGGCTACGAGTCTGCAAAGCGCGGCGGGTGTCGACAACCTTCGTGTTTCGGTAGCTGGCCCGAACCTCGCCAGTATCTTGAGGCAAACTGGCGGTGATGACAATACGTCTTCCTTCGACACGGAAAGAAACCGACGCTTGCGACTACGCAATATCTACATCTCCGAGCGTGGCCATACCCTAAAGACCCTCCGCAAGCTGCTGGTTCTATCCCTTCACGATCGTGCAAACGACTCACACAACTCTGACGAGGCGGGCGCCGCGCGCAAACTTGCATTGTCCAAGCTAGGCATGTCTCTGTTCAGAGAGAAAGCAGCCGGTGATGGATTGAAGCAATTTTTGGAAGAGTGTATCGCCAGCATTCGAAGGCGCCTAAAGGACGTGGCCGCAGATGGCGGTTGGCTGGGCGCCTCTGAGAGTAACCAAGAAACAGAAGCCGCCTGGAAGACAACCCTAGTAGAGGAAATTGTACATATCCTCCAGCTGATGTTTCATTCTCTTCAACAATCAACGGAAGTGCCCTCTGGAATCCTTGTGGAGTCCTGGCTGGAGCTGATGGCGGAGTATGACTTTTTGGAATATTTGCAAGTGGTAAGTGACGACATTGATGGAATTTTAGGACCTTGAATGCTGACTAGCACTACAGCCTTGCGAGCAACCCAAGGAGCTGCTATTACCACTCCAATCTTTTGTTTCGCTGACCACCCTCGCCTTCTTGAAAGTTTCCCTTGTGATCGGATCCATGGGGGGACCCGAACACGCCCCCAGTCATCTCCTGTGGAAAGGACGCATATTTTCTCTCCAAGGAAAGGATACCTAGAATAACAGAGATCTTACTCAACGCCTGCACGACGACGACAATGGTCACTGCCAACCCAGCTGCATTCTCCTGGGGTTTGATACTTTACACTTTGCAAAACCTAGCTTCCAAAGAGCAACAAGATCGAGAGATGAAGCAACTGAATAGTGCTGTGGAATCTTTCCAAGCGCGTACCGCAGGGCCGTCTGGGGGATCTGAGCCGTCTCTTTACGAAGACTTGATTGACTGTGCTCGACCACCGCATATGAATGAGGAGCAGGACCCTCTGCTTTATCTGACTTCTGATCAGGTCAGAGATTTGGCCTTCAGCACGATCATCACACTCTCTGCCAAGGCGGGGTCTATGTCAGCAATCGATGATGGTTTAACATACCGTTGGACGCGTCTGGCTATGCTTGATCTTGTTCGCGAGACAATCAGATACACTGACTATTCACCCGAGATTGTGGAGGCTCTGTTGGCAATTCTCAGTGGGACGCCAAACTCTTCGTCCTGTCCCTCAGAAGATTCGCTTAGCCCTGCCAGTGAACCAAAGTCTGTCTTTGCCAAAACTCCAATACTTATGGATGAGATCTTCCGCGTCTCACGTTCCAGATTTCCGTACGAAACAGTCCCATTTCTGAAGCTCTGCCGTGCGCTCGTGAGTCCACACTTGATCAATGAGGACGGCCTACCAGAGATTGTCGAAGAACTCGAGAGTATCAGTACCTTCACACAGGCAGTCACGTCAGACTTCCAGGGATACGAGACGATTCGAGAAGATGAGAATGCCAACTTCGTGTCCCTGACACAAGCCCTTCCGATGTTCGAGTCTCTTTCCCACAGTCGTCTGGTCAGCAATGAGCCGGATAATGCTCTTGTGGTACACGGGTCGTCGGAGATTCCAGCCACGGCTGTTGGACAAGTTATTTCTGAATCGAGACCGGCCGTCATTATGTGGCAACATGAGTATTCGTGTCTGAGCTACTTGGGAAGCTGGTTAGAAGAGTGGAGTGAGAGTGGCGGTGACACTTCTGGCTGGGATCCCGAGTGTGGCACCGAGATAATCGGTCTCCTAGCTGACCTTGTGGCTAGCTCTCAAGATGTCCACACCCATGACTCCCCGGGTACTAGCGCGAAGAGAATTTTGGAAATGGCCAGTGATGGGCTGTCGCGCCAAGGCGATATCATCTCGGTGGTGTTGGATATCTTTGAGCGCAACCTACAGAATGTTGGTTCGCGGGTGGTGCTGTGGAGGCATTGGATCTACTGATGGTCTGCATGCAATTCATCCAAGAGGTTCTCCATGTCCTTCCCAACAGAATCTGGCCATTTTTGAGTCGCAGCAGCTTCATCGGGTCAGACGGCAAAGGCGGAGTATTAGCTGCGATCATTTCGGCAGTAGAGATCCCCGCTGGGGAGTATCCATTCCTTCTCAGCACCCTTCGCTTGTTCGAGGCTGCTGTCGACGATGCTGTCTCACGCGCAGTACTTCGCAAGTGCCCTGGTAGTGTTTCGGGCAAATCGACAATCGCATCGGACTGGAGTGCGGGTATCCCCTCCCATGTCATGAGAACTATTTTGCTGAATTTCACCCGGACAATGGTTGAGATTTTCAACAGCAATGGTAACTGGAGGTTCAACTTCCCTGAGCAACAATTCGGCATTAGTGCTGGTCTTGCCAAGGTTTTCGATCGCATCCTTTACTACGTCTACGGAATCAATGATTCTACGAAACTTGAATCAAAAATCACTGGCGTGTTTTCTGATTCTGCGGCCTACATTCTGGACATGCTGCGGCCTCGTTCAGCCACTGACCTACCTTTTAACGCTATCCTCCGGCTGATCACCGATGGTCTCCAAACTCCACCTACCCTTCACCTCCGCTACCTTGACCTAGTTGTTGACCAGGTCAGCTCCACTCTCAGGCTGAGTGATAAGCTTGTCCAGTCGGCACGACTCGCTGAGAAGCCCGCCTCACTTCTCGAGGAGCAATTGTTCAAAGCTACCCCGGTTCTGACCAAACTTTACGCTCTTAATGATGCCTACAAACTGCCGGTTGTATCGTTATTGGACACCTTGGTCACAAGTGCTTCTTCAAATTCCGACAAGGAACCTCCATCTCTTGTTGGTCATCTTGGGGCAGAGTCGGCTTGCCTTTTCCTTGACGTGCTCGCCCAGCTTGATAAGTCACTTAACGACAAGCCTCTGCTTCTTGCGATCTGGCACCTGCTGTCGACCTTTGTGAGCAAACGTCAACAATGGTTGGCCGTTTTCATTCTCACTGGCGCATCTCCTCGTCAAACTTTGAAGAAGACAGATACCGGTGGCCCGAAGATGAGAGGCGCGCCATTCTTACAAATTGCTCTTGATAAGCTTGCCCATCTCGAGAAGGAAGATCCTCAAGTGGCTTTATCCCTACTTCAGTTTGTTTCTCGAGCCCAGGAAAACTGGCCATGGGCTTCGCCTCACCTGCAAAAACACACTCAATTCTTCGACGGCATATTACATTATGTTTCGAAGCTGAAAATTTCCGCTCTGCCTGTATCCGAGCAAATATTTGCGACACGTATTGCGGCCGTTGTTACAGACATCTGCGCTGTTTACCTCTTCCCATTCAAGGAACTGATCAGGGGAGCACCATCAGATAAAGCAACTCTTGAGCGAGGTCGGAAATTCTTCGCTGACCTCATCCCCCTGGTACAGTGGCTATCTAAGGATGCCGTGGAGGTCTCAGCTTACAATGCTTCTTTGCACACCAACTTGAAGAAAAACTTCGAGAGGCGCTACTCCGGTTGCAAGATGACGGACTTCAAGAGATCTGCACTTGAGTCCCGCACTCTAGGACGTGATTACTACTACAACCTGGGTATGGGACAACAGCTCTTGTCGTATGACTTTGCCTGGGCGGGAAACCGCAAACAAGGCTTCTCCGAGGAGTTTGAGAGGGCCAACATCAACCTGTCACTTGTTGAAGCACAGATGGTAAGTTTTGTCTGAATATTTCGATTAATTTGTGGATCGTTCCTAACAATTTTGCAGACTCTTCTAAACAGCTGGAAATTCTTCGCTGTTGAACATTGCCAGGACTTTATGAGAGCTGGCCAAATGGTACCCATCTTGATGGCAGAGGTAGCACAGAAATGCCTTGAAGCCAATAGTCGACCTGTCCCGCCAGAGGCCATCTTCGCACGTATTCAGCAAGTTCGAGTTGATTTTGCCCAGGCACTGACTCAATGTCTCGTTGAAGAGGGAGCTAGAGGTGCTGAGGTGTTTCAATTGCTCGAAGTGGTTTGGAAAGCACTGCGCTCTCGTCACCCAACCTACGAGGCAGCCCTCGTTGCCGATGACACAGAATACTATCGCTCCCTCCTCAATGTGCTATTCTTAGCCCTCCAATTCCATGTGGATGTGCCCCGATTGCAGAATCAGCCAGAGGTCCTCACGAAGGCGGCGAAGGTCTCATCCAATATTCCAGTCATTGTGGAAGTTGTCAAGACTGTTGTCGCACAAGGCTTCCGATCCCTGACCTCATATTTGCACGACGAGCCGGATAAGTGCACGCCCAAGGATTTTGCGATCATCATTGCCATTCTCCAGACTTGTCTGCAGGTCAAGGACGCCGATCGACTCTTTGAGTATATCACATTCCACGTCCAGGACAACGAAACCGTCCGACACGCGACAACACTCTTCTCGTGGGCAGATCAGCTAGCAATCGCCGGCGACCCTGTCTACGGCGAAGTCAGCCTTTCGTTCCTTGTTAAGCTCTCCACTCTCCCCATGCTAGCGGAACACCTCGCTGTGGAGGGAGTCCTAGGCAAGCTGTCGACATGCCGCCTCACCAACATCCTCCAACAACCCAAGGGATTCGGACCCTTCGACACTGTCTCCCGACTGTACACAATCTGGACCGGCGGTTTCCTCCCGTTGTGTCTAAACCTCCTTTTCAACGTCGTCCGTGCCGCCCCCGAAGTATCCGCCTTCCTCAACCAATTCGAAGGCCAGCTCAACCGTGCCGCTGAAGCCTTTTCCCACGGCCACTCCACCCCGCAATCGCAATGGATTAGCCTGAGCATGGCATCAGAGGCATATTCACTTGCCCTGATCTCCGTCGCTTTGGACCGCTTCCGTCAAGCCGGACCCAGCGCTGGTCTAGACCCGCAGTCCATCCAGGAACTCAAGTGGGATAGATCACACGTCAAGGATGATATTGAAGAACTGCTCAGTCGCCGCCCGTACCTGCGTGGCCGTATCGTCGCCACTACTGATAAGGAGGCCGAGATGTCGAGGCAGCCGCCGCTGGACAAGAAGCGTGATGCTGAGAACCGGTTGGAAGAAAAGATCGTGATTGAGTTGGAGGATGTGCTGGCCTGTTTGAATGGCGGCGAGGAATGATGATACTCATGTCTTTTATAGCCTTGTTCTTCTTTTTTCAACTTGTTGTTTTTGCTATGTATTGCCTGGGCTGGGTTTGGGGTGTAGTCGATCAGTGCATCAAGATCCAATAAGATTTATTCTGCAATCTAAAATTGAGTCATGTGTGGTGTTGTCTAGATAAGCTACTTCTTACTAGTAACTATTACCGGTACTAGTATTCCAATCCAAGTAGACTTGGAACATTAACCTTGTATCATCTTGACAAATCGGGCATAAATATCCATTCATCACGAGTCGTAAATTCCCAGCCATAGATTGTTAGGGCACATCGCCCTAATCAAAAACTCACGCGTACCATGCAACTTTATAGAGCGACGAAAACACCGGCAGAAAGCCCCCAGTGAAGCGAGAAAGACGAAATAGACCCCATATATAATTACATCACCACACAGCACGCCTTCTCCATCTTGCGCAGAACCCTGGGCAACACCGCATTGACAATCTTTTCCACCTCATCCTGCTGTTGAGGCTGTTGCTGGTGTTGTTGCTGCTGGTGGTGTCCCTGCTGCTGGCCGGGGTACCCGCCGTACGAGCCGCCCTGGTGTGGTGCCTGGTGCGAAGGGTAGTCGGGCATGACCGCCTCGCCACCAGTCAGGTTGACGTAGATACGGCCGGCATTGTCCTCGGTGGCATATTTCAGGCCGAGTTCGTTGCAAACTTGTTCGACGCGAGGCTTGATCTTCTGGACATGGCCGGCGGAGTGGTTGCCCTTACCGACGATGCTGGAGGAATTCTGGTATTAGCAGTTTTCTTTTTCTTTTATCCCTAGTAGGTCTGTCGCGAAAACAGACATAGTTCAGGAAAAAGGGCAAGGAGGAGTGCAAACTTACACATGGAGGTGGTTTTGTCCATGGGACTTGGCATACTTAATGCGCTCCTCCAGGATCTCCTCCGCCTCTTCGACGAATTGGCCATGCAGATCGATCGTGTCCGCCGCTACGCGGCCATTGGCGTTGTTCTCACGGAAAATGTACTCGGACGCTTGCTTGTTGTATTGCTCCATCTTGCGGCCGTGGGCCTTTCCCTCCTCCGAAAGCTGTTTGGCGCCGGCGCCATCTCCGCTTGAGTAGGCTTCCTTCGACTAGAAGGGTGGAGTTAGGACGGATTGCGCCAGTGGGGATAGATCATCGCAACGCGATCGCGTGGAGAAAGGCAAAGAGGGAGAAGTATCAGAGGAATCAGAAGGATGTGTGGCATACCCGGTGAAAGCACTCGCCTCGCTTGGAGGCTTCCTGGCGCGCAAGATCGCGGAGGCGATCGTACTCGGCCTCGGAGTCACCGCTTTGGTCGTGGTTGAAGGCTAGGAGGTGTTAGATTCCGCGTTGTTTCAGGGAAGGGATTGGCGCGACACGTACCCCGCGAGCCCAGGTGGGACATTTGGTAGGACATGGTGTGGAGGGAGATCAATGAGGAAGTTAAGTTGGAACGGCGAAGAGTTCCTGAAGCTGAGGTGAGTGGGGAAAGGGCGAATCAAACCTTGAAATCCAACCAGGGACTGGGGACGAGACCCCGAGGTACTGGGACTGGACTGGGACTGCTGGTTCCTCCCAGGCGGGACCCGAAAAATCAGAACCCGATCGGGGGTTCCAGGCGTTCCATGGATCGATTGCGGCACGTAGATTGGATGGCCACAAATCACATTGATGTACAGAGTACAGCATTTATTTACATTGTTTCGACATTTGTGGAAGAAGTGATTTCAGAGTGATTCGTTGATCTGTAAAGTAAAAGTAAAAGTAGGCAAATACGTAGGGATGGTACTCCGTAGATCGGTCTGGATCCCTTCTACTCCGTACTCCGCACTGCTCGAGCATGGCATGGATCGGCTCCAAATTTAACATGCAATTTAAACCCCCAGGAGACTAGTTTGTATGGACCATCTAATAGTTTATCAAGAGGAACTAGTAGCTCTCACTCCCTTGGTCCGTTCACCCCTAGAAGTATGGCACCCAAACCTAGTCTCTACGCTATTGATCCGGTGGGGTCGAAACTTTCCTATCCACGATTCACTCTGTGCAGACCCAGCGGACACATACAGTAGTCGGAGGGTCATACACGGGGCCTTGTTAATCACAAGCCAAAGCTCGGTGGTATGCACACTCACCGGAATTAAGATCCGAGAGACAATTAGTTGTCACAGGCTACATCGAAACACGAGTCCAAAGTTATACTCCAGGAATTATAGAAGCCTTGGAAATCAGGAGATACAAGATTTACCTGGCCTACTGATTACTTAGGTATTTGTCCACCTTGGAGAGGGAACTAACATAGGTATCCCTACAATGAGAAAATGCTGGAGATACTGGATCACAGTTCGTTTTTCATTCGTTACCCGATGATCACGACGATGTGGTGACCAAGAAATACCCAGTCTACTAGAACCCGTATCAAGAGGTTTCAATCTCCAAACTCCCCAGCGCTGTTGGGTGAAACTGCTCAACAGTGCCATTTATCCTTATCCAGAACACTCGCCAAACTCAACCTCGCTTTAATCAAGTCTCGAACCCATATTGATGGAGTCGACATCAGTCAGATCCCTGGCTTCCAGTTTCAGGTTTCAGGCAAAAACATTGCAAGAAACCGACGACGTGTTTGAGCTGATGATTGAACTCTACACTCTTGTCAGATTTACTAGAAAGACATAAGCTATAAATAACTCTGACAAGGGTCTAAAATCCAATCATCGCTCGTACACTTTGTCCAGTTATTGCAGTTGTTGAGCCGCAGGTCACGGATCTGGCTAATATCAACTCCGTCAATATGAATTCGCGACGCCTGGCTGAAACGAGGTTGAAAGGATTTTGGAGTAATTTGATGTTCTTTTTTGGCGATCTGTCGATGATATTTCAAATCTGCAAGAGACATTCAACACTACTAGTAGTGTGTCCCTCTCTAACCATCCATGGATGGAATGGGATGCGATGCTAGGAAGTGATGGCTTATGTGGGATGAGCTAGACGGCCATTACCCAGGATAGATTGATACTCGTACTCTATAGAATCCTGATCATATCCACAGGTGGGGACTACTGAGATTTTGGGTGGATAGGGTGCTGAGCTACAGTACTTTGTACTTCCGCGGAGTGACGAATGACGAGTGTCGCTGTGCTAAGAGCAATCCAGGTCCTGGGATTGGGGAAAAAGACATAATTGACCGCACTGCATTCCCGACCAATGAAGGCGTTTTGAATGCGAATAAAAAGAAAATAGAAATGCCCGATTTAAACTCCATCAAGAACAGAAGATTGCTCCGAGAACCTAGATCTGACACCTCTTCGGGTAATTGGTATGGTGTGTCGCAACTGGCTTATACATAAACCAGATAGTAGCTACACCGTCATTCTATGTCGGGACTATGAACCGACAGATTGAGAAAGTCGACATGCATGCTGTATTTAGTAAGAATTAGCCCGCCCGGCGAATCTCGAAATTCCAGATTACGAGTACGTGAGATAGCACAGAGGACTTGGAAGTATGGCAGAAAGGGTAGAGCCGGTCGACACCTTCCGTGCAGAGTATTCCAGCCCCGGACGAAGGAGGAAGCAGGTCCAACTTTGACCCTGGTATACCCCCTCCCCATGCAATGCTCGTCCTCTGCAAGAAAAGGAGGACCAGGGGGAGGGGTGGCGCGCGGCAAATGAAGAGCTAGAAGCACTAGATAGTGGGTCAAACCCGATAGCGTGCCCCAGAGATAGAAATTCCAGAAATTCCATGAGCTCAGGGGCGGGCCATGTGAGACCCATGTGCGCCATTCTCTTGTTTGGGGCCCGGCTTTCAGTGACTATAACTCCGTGCAGTGGGATGCATGTCGTTCACCCTCGTCTGACCCGCTTTGCTTTGAAATCCCGTGCAGGAAGCCGATCCACGGGGATCAAAGGACCTTGTTTTGCGTCCCCCCCCCGGGCGGATCGGCACGGTACCGGAGATGGGCAGATAGATGGTCATGGTACGTACTATGTAGGCAGTATGTTTTTACTAGGCAAGCAGGAATCCGTATCGAGTCTACAATAAATACTCCGTACTCCGTACTGGATACATAGTTAGTGATAGTACTATATCCAGACAGGGCTTAACTACATACAGCGGTGGAGAGAGTGATGGAGCAACAGGTTTTGCAACGGCCGACCTGACGCCACCCTGTGGGGGTGTTGAGAGTCCCATCTATAGGGACGGGAGCGATCCCAGGCCAGACTGCTGATTCAGGTGTGACGGTAAAAAGATGACTAGGATTTGGGGAGGGTGTTCCAGGCTGAGGCAGGCGCAGTTTCTGCTCAATCGGACTGGCAAAGCCAAAGAAAAAGACAAAGTAAAAAGCAAGTTCGATGGGATTCCTACACAACGGTCAGCTTGAGTGGTCCAAGAATAGAATAAATGATTGTACGGGGTACAGAGCAAGGGCAGTTGTACTCCGTACAGTGCAATGCATATCCATCAATGGTAAGGCGGGCTGGGCGAGAAGATGAAAGCTCCAGGGACTCGAGCACCCCCGTCTCATGCCCTCAAAAATGGAGACGGTCGTCGGACAATAACCATTAGTGTGCTTGGTCCCCACATGTAGATCCTCCTGAATGTACATACTGCGTACGAGTAAATGGAGGATGGAGTATAAGCAGTATCTGTAGAAGAATGAGACATGGGAGATATTTCTCATTGCTCAGAAACACAGTGTAGAGAGTACAGTCTCATTGATGTGTCTTTGTTGACGGATGATAGCCGAATGAGTGAAAGAGGGTATTGATGGGAGGGTGTATACAAAGAGACCGTAAAAGGGGCTCCCCTGGAACGGGCGGTGATTGGCTGTTGGCCAATACTACTCCACCTTCCATCGACCAATCAGAATCCTCCAATGGGACGGTGATGCCAAAATCGCCTACGATGAATAATACCGTCAGGCCAGCGTCACATCGACCGGAGTTCCTCACTAAATGCTCTGACGCGCCGGTATTACATGTGTATCCCCTTTCTCATGCTAAGAAACTTCAATTTCCCCCAACTCCCCTCTTCTCTCCCCCCCCTTACACACCTTAAACCTCTCCTTCTCTCTCAGCTGGTTCCCGGCGTCTCTGTTCCTTTTTTCCTTTTCTTGGATACCCTCAACTCTTCCCATCCATCGCTCCTTTCCTTTGAGCCTCGGGTTTCCTGTCAAGGTACGTCAATCTCAATTCCCCTTTTCTCCTCTCATCACTTTCTCTCTCTTTCGTGCTCCGACCCTTTTGGTTTCACCCTTGCGTCGACACCTTTCCATCCTGAAACGTTGGGTTTTCTGCGGCTTGTACCACCTTCGCCAAGTCCCCGACGATAGTCAAGACTTTCATTTGCTCGTCTCTCTCGAGGGTCTTACGTTTTTCTCCTCGATCAGTTTCGCTGACCTTGCGCGCACGCTTCCAGTCCCTGATCGACCGATCCCTGACCAAATTACACCGGCTCCTACCACACTATCGTTAATTCACGCATACACAAAACGCACCCTATTTACAAACACATCTTTCCACCAACACCGCCATAATGGGTTGTGGTATGAGTACTGAGGATAAGGAGGGGAAGGCGCGTAACGAGGAGATCGAAAACCAGTTGAAGCGCGACAAGATGATGCAACGGAATGAGATCAAGATGCTGCTCCTTGGTATGATTCAATTCGCCCCCAACCGGAGATCAAGAAAACAACTCCGACAGTCTTAGAGTAGCAGCTGACAAGAAATCACACAGGTGCCGGAGAGTCGGGCAAGTCTACCATTCTGAAGCAGATGAAGCTCATCCACGAGGGTGGCTACTCCCGCGACGAACGCGAATCCTTCAAAGAAATTATCTACAGCAACACCGTTCAGTCGATGCGGGTCATCCTTGAGGCAATGGAATCTCTCGAGCTCCCCCTGGAGGATGCGCGGAACGAATATCACGTCCAGACCATCTTCATGCAGCCCGCTCAGATCGAGGGTGACAGCATCCCTCCGGAGGTTGGCAATGCCATTGGTGCCTTGTGGCGTGACACCGGTGTTCAGGAGTGCTTCAAGCGCTCGCGTGAGTACCAGCTGAACGACTCCGCCAAATAGTAAGTGGTCACTGCCGACGAAAACGAAATGGTCATTCCCCTAACAAATTCACAGCTACTTCGACGCCGTTGATCGCATCGCCCAGCCCGACTACCTCCCTACCGACCAGGATGTTCTCCGTTCCCGTGTTAAGACTACTGGTATCACCGAGACTACCTTCATCATTGGCGATCTGACCTACCGCATGTTCGACGTCGGTGGCCAGCGATCAGAGCGAAAGAAGTGGATTCACTGCTTCGAGAACGTCACCACCATCCTTTTCCTGGTCGCCATCTCCGAGTACGACCAGCTGCTGTTCGAGGACGAGACCGTCAACCGTATGCAAGAAGCCCTTACCCTGTTCGACTCCATCTGCAACTCCCGGTGGTTCGTCAAGACCTCCATCATTCTCTTCCTCAACAAGATCGATCGATTCAAGGAGAAGCTGCCCGTCAGCCCGATGAAGAACTACTTCCCCGACTACGAGGGTGGTGCCGACTACTCTGCTGCGTGCGACTACATCCTCAACCGATTCGTCTCATTGAACCAGGCCGAGCAGAAACAGATCTACACCCACTTCACCTGCGCCACCGACACCACCCAGATCCGGTTCGTCATGGCCGCTGTCAACGGTAAGTCAACCACTATAATCCTTCTTGAAAATCCAGGTGATAGAAAAAAAAAACACATGACTGACACCTTTCCTAGATATCATCATCCAAGAGAACCTCCGACTCTGCGGTTTGATCTAATGAACTACCAATCCCAGGGTGTCGCAGTGTGCTGAACTAGATCGCATGTGTTTTTCCTTTCGGCTGTAATCGGATCTCGCCGGGATTGTGATCAAAAGCCTCGTTCCAGAATTCCGGCGTTGAACATTTCTTCCTCTGTTCCATTTTCTTCTTCCATGTGTCCTTTCTAATTGCGCTCGCCTTTTCCTGACACGATCTCTAGCCGGTTCCTTTTTGTCTTTTCTTTTTTTTTCTTTTTCTTCCTGCTCTCGATGACACGAAACAGGATACCCTTTTTTGACCATGGCTCTCTCTAACGTTTAATCGACGCGGAGAGCCCTGAACCATTTTTCTCTTTTTCTTTCTCTGTGAACCATCGTCTCTTATTTCCTATTTCCCCTTTCCTTTTTCCCCCTTGTGTCTGATTTGAATGCTGGATATCCTATCATCTCTCTTGTGGTTGTCACCCTACCCTCTTATCTTTTTTGTTGTTTTTTTTTGTATGTAAACATACCGTCTCCCCCATCGTTTCCTTGGTCTCGCGCCCGTTGGAAGCCTCGAGCGACCAGCCGGGCAATGGGCACGGGGGAATGACAGGATACACGGAATTATCATGTCTCTTCTCATGTGTCATGCCTCGGTCGTTGGGTTATAGTCAGGCAGGAATTCAATTATCGGGTTTCCGACTTTATATGATCATGACATGTAGACTGGTACTCGTAGTTACTAGTATGATAAAATGTCGAGCTATGACCGGTCAGTAGGTACTTGGCGTCTACGCAAAACAGGTATACCCTTGTTATCAAAATTGTAGTCGAATTTATGCAATGGCACATGGTCAGGATGGTTTCAATAAGAATGCGGATGTCCAGGGTATCTTAATTTCAACACGAGTAAAACAAAAACAACACTCCACTTCACTTCACATTAGAACCTCAATTTAGGCCCAACATAAACAATCAAGATGGCAACAATCCACAAGCCAAAGATCCACGCATAAAGCATCATCCTCCCCCACCACCCCTTCCCTTCCGACATCCGCGTCAACATGCTCATCCTCCTCCCCGCCGCCTCCATCGTCGACGAGGTCTTATCCATGCCCAACGAAGCTCGATCCAGGGCATCCTTCTCGTTGTCTAGCGTCTCCTGGAACGACTGTGATTGGGACTTCAATTGGCTGGCCATTGCGACTAGTGAACTGGTAAGATCTTCTTGTTCGGAGCGGTCGTCGTCGAGGGCCTTTTCTGCGGCAATTTTAGGGTCTTCTGGGGTTGTAGTGCTTCCTGTTGTTTTTGCGGGGGCTTCTTTGGGTGCTGTGGTTGGTGCGTGTCTGTTTCGGAGGGTGGAGAGTGGTTCTGATGTTGTAGGTGTGGGAGTAGGTGTAGAAGCAGACGTCGGGACGGAGGTAGCTGTAGCTGTGGCTGCAGCTGTAGCAGTTTCGGTGAAGAGAGCCGTTGATTTCGAGCCATCGACCTCCGGGGTCGAAGAAACAACCTTCTTCTCCACCATCGGTTTCGAGAATAACTCGTTCCACTCATCATCCCCCTCATCCTCCGCGTCCTCGCCATTCTCATCGGCGCGGGCATCGGCCTCTTCCTCATCGAGAACAGTTTGCATTCTCTTAAGAAGCTGCCTATCACGAGCAATTTCCGCCTGCGCCTCATGTCGGCGGTCGAGTTGTTTTAATTGTGGGAGTGAGCGTTCGAGTTGGGTGAGGAGGGTCCGCGCGTATTCGACGTTCTGTCATAGGATGGAACAACCTGTTAGCTTCAAAGTTTCTGATAGTAGGTAGGATCTATCAATTTGGCTGAAGTCTCCCCGATTGCGGTCGAGGTTGTCGTTGTTTAGGTCTTACCTTGGTTACTCGCATGCGCTGGTACTCGGACCGGCGTAGGGTGCGGAGCTCCGCACCTGGAGAGAGGAGGTTATACTCCAGGCGTGTGAAAAGACGGGCGGCATTTAGGAGAGTGAGATCGGGGGACTCCCCTGCTGAAGGAAATGCCGATACAGCCATGCTGGGAATTAAGATGGGAGGTGTAAGTAAGGTAGTCAAGGGAAGTAGTTGTACGTAGCCAACTTTGGAGGTGAAGGTGGCCGATCATTGCTGACTAAGAATTTCCATTTTGGACAAGTATACGGAGTATAAAATATAAAATCGAAAGATGAAAAGGATGAATCGAAATGGAAAAACAAAACAAAACAAAAGGATCGCCGACCTCCCAATGTGAGTGAAAATGAGCAAATACAGTAGTAAATGAATGAGACGTGGGAAATGCATAATCACAGTGACATAAAACGAGAAACCATCAAAAAGGCCACCAGGCTAAAAACATTACACAAGAAAAAAACAAAGATGATTCCAAGGTTTAGGCAAAAACTTTGGAAAATGCCCCCTAACTATACTCGACGACTAGGCGTCTCCACGTCCGCACACCACTATCGTCCACCTCACGCATCTGCTGCACCGATTCGTTGCGTCTTTGGACAGATCCAGATCCGGTGGCTGCATCTCCCTCCGATCCAGATCGAGGCTGCGTGGCAACAGTCGCAGCGGGGACCACCGGGGAAGATTTCCCACTGTTCTCCATCTGTTCACGGGCTCTGGCCGCCACAACCCCGCTACTTGGATAATTGCTGTTGTGCGAAAGTGGTTTTAACACGTCGCATGCGGAAGCTGCTGGTGGTGGCGGCGGCGAGGCTGATTTGGATGTTGCCTTTTCCATGTTGGACATTTGGTACCACGGGCCCGATTGCGGCGCAGATTTGCAAATTCGTTTGAGATGCTGGATTGCCAGGGAAAAGAGAAATAGACTGGTAACGATCGTGCTGATCCCGAATAGAGTGGTGTATAGTGGCCACTTTGATGCGGATAAAAGTGGTAGAGCCCGAGATCGCGTGTATACTTCTTGTGCAAGGACCATCGCGGGGGTGTGAGGGAGCTTTATAATTCGACTAGAGAAAAGCAAAGTCGAGAACTTGAACTTTGGAAAAAGTAGTCTGTGCTAGTAGATGCGTGATTTGGAATATATGAGGCTCGGGGTTTAGATCGGCGTGGACATGATCTCGATGAAGCCCGAAGCACAGCTATCACTATCACGGCGGGGCGGGGTGGTTGAGCAAGTTTATGATCCAAAGAGAGGGGTTATGACCAGGATTATAAACGACTTGAACGGGTGGCCTGAGGATGTTAAGAGATCGACAGTGTTCAAGTTATTTTATTTTATTTTTCAAAACTTGGGAGCAAAGGCAAAGGCAAAGATGGCGGGGCTGGCATCATCTCGGTTGGATCTATAAAAAAAGTTCACCTCTTAGTGTTTCCCCACGATGGTGACACGATGGTTCGCAATAGCATTACAGGGACGGTAAAAGGAAATTAATTAAAACTACTACTCCGGATATTCCAGTAGATCATCTTCATGAAAAGTATTAAGGCTTATATAAGTGATCCATCAGAAAGTCAAAGATGCACAATAGAAACGGTGGAAGGAAGTCTGCAACATTCGCAGTACTCGCAGTACTGGCCATTTCCAGTAATCTCGCCTTCTGTACGGCCTACGGAGTACTCATGTGGATTTCCCGTGTCTTTGAACGCTGGATTCCAAAAGAAAACACTAGACTTCGTTACCAGCTGCCGACCAGTCAGCCATGGGGAAGACTCCCAGGTTTTCAGCTGCAAACATCAAGCGCCACGCAGGATTCAACCGGGATCTGCCCGTCTGAACCTCCCCACTATTCCCTCTTTCATTTTATGTCATTTGATTTTTTTCCCCAAATCATTCGCGACCTTCTGAGCAGGGGTGTTCGACCCATGCCCATGGCCACGGTTACGGAGATAAAACCTGAGAAGCGTAAAAATCAATCGATCGGGTCACCTTAACCTCTCAGACCGAGCGATCTGCGATCGGATCGATGCTGGGAGGGGCGCATTCAGCTCCAGCTGGGCGTGGCACAGGCCATTCGCGCTAATATTGGCTAACACGGTCTAACCTAGTGCCCTCTCAGCGAATCAGCTTCTCCATCCACTCGCTCGGCTATGTCTTTTTCTCTTGCTTCTCTCTCATCTGGCTTTAGCCCGCGTCTCCAGGGCCACGGATCCCCGCGAGTGATCGCCCTGCTCATCGTAATGTATACAGATGATCGCCAAAAGAACTTGAACCTTGGAAAAAGAAAGAAAACTTTGAAAGTATGTACACTCGAGCCCAATTCTGCAATATACCTAGGTATACATCCCTCGCTCAACAAAGCAATGCCAAACCCTGCCGCGACTAGAGTTTCGCTGTGGCACCTTGCTTCAGCTCCGCCTGCGCTTGCTCGCGCAGGACTTTGCGCAGGATCTTCCCCGATGGGTTCTTAGGGATCGCCTCAAGGAACATGACCCCACCAGTGATCCGCTTCACTGCGGCAACCTTGCCGTCCATGAATTGGACGACCTGCTCTGCCGTGAGAGATTGTCCAGGTGCCAGAACGACGTATGCACGAGGCCGTTCTTCCTCGTTGCTGTGTCACCTTGTCAGCGCCGGGGCTATCACAAAGAGACAGAAGGGGTCCCCAAAAATATGTACGATACTTACATCACAACACCCACGACGGCCACATCCGCAATCGCTGGGTGTTCCAAAAGCAGGGCCTCTAACTCTGCTGGGGCCACTTGGTTGCCCTTGACCTTGATCAGTTCCTGCGGGGGGGTCATGTCAGTACCCCTCTTCCATTTTCATATGTGATATCTGTGTGATTCTCGAAACTTAGCGCGTAATGACGTTACGTACCTTCAGCCTGTCCACAACATGGAACTTGCCCTGATCATCCACATAGGCAATGTCGCCTGTCCGAAGCCATCCATCCTCTGTCTTGGTCTCTTTCGTTGCCTCAGGATTGCGCCAGTAACCTTTCATGACGTTATGACCGCGCACCCACAGCTCACCGCGTTGATTGCGCTCAAGGATCTCCGTCAGGCCGTCCTCGGCCACGATCTTGGCTTCACAGTTGGCATTAGGTTCCCCGACTGAGGCTGAATCGCTCTTTTCTCTCGGATCCCAGCCGAGCATGGAGCATGTTGCCCTATACAGCCATTAATATTGCTCTTGACATAACGATCAACCCGTGCAGCAAACCATCCATGCACAGAAGAAAGGCGAAAAAGAGTTTGAAAGAAAAGGAAACTCACTCAGTCATTCCCCACCCCTGCTTAACATTGATCTTCCCCTCAGGCCATAACTTCTCCACCTCAGCACAAACCTCTCTCCCCAACGGCGCCGCACCACTACCCACACTCTCCACACTACTAAGATCAAACTGCTTCACAGCCGGATGTTTAGCCAACATAACCATAACAGGCGGCACGAAGATGAAATCCGTAATCCGGAAAGTCTGCGTATACTCCAGCACCTTAACAAAGTCAAACTTAGGCATGATATAAACTGGCGTACGCCTTGTCAACGCCGCCGCAATAAAAATATTCTGCGCCATAGCATGATAAAGCGGCAAAAAGCACAACCAGCGCGCGCGAAGCAACTTCTCCGCATAATCCGGATTCAAAGAGGCCATATAGTTGTACTGTAGCATATTCGCCACGTAATTCTTATGCGTTATCTCGACGCCTTTTGGTCGACCCGTTGTTCCGCTGGAATAGTTGAGTACGAGGGTTGTATCGGCTTGTTCGGGCGTGGATAGATCGTCCCAGGCGAAACCTGTTCCTTCTTCGATTGGGGCGATTAACTCGCCCCAGTGCCGACATCCTTTCTGTCCGATGCCTGGACCGTCGTAGATCGTATTATCGAAGACGAAGATCCGGTCCCGGTCTAGTCCTGCCTGCTTTGCGGCGTCTAAACCTGTGTCTAGGCTGCTACCAGCGCAGATTAGGTACGTGGCGCCGCTGTCTTGGAGCTGGAAGGCTAGTTCCCGGGCTACGTAGGTTGGATTGGCGCCGGTGAAGATACCGCCTGCCATGATGATTCCCATGAAGACGACCGGGTAGAAGAGGTCGTTTCCGGAGAAGAGGAGGACCCGATCGCCTGGTTGGAGGCCTGATTTGCGAAGGCCGGCGGCGAAGCGCTGGCTCCAGAGGCGGAAGTCATGCGGAGTGAAGTAGTGTGTTTCTGGGCGGGCGGCTTCGAGAAAACAGCGGTTGGTCTTGGATAAGGGGGCTGTTGGGGAGTCTAGGAGGATTGAGGCGAGGTGGGCGTTTGGGATGTCGATTGTCCAGCGGGATTTGTACGGCATGTTGGATGAGTGTGGTGGTGATACTAGTACTAGTATCACGAGGGGCTGGAGGATGTAGAGGAAATGTAGGTACTAATATGGATTGAATGAGAGAAAGAGGAACAGGCACTGGTAAAGGAAAGAGGATTTAAAACCGGGCACAAATTCATAACTCCGGCTGAACCGTGATCTCAGTTGTTGGCATACAGCCTTGTCGAATCAAGATGTGTTCATTGGAGCTTTCCCCGCATAAATCGGTTATGCGTGCGGGGGATCCGAGGTGCATCCACTCAATGCCGAGGACCAAGTGAGCACTACCAGTACTAGTACTACTGGTAGAAGCGAGCTGTTCAATTATCCAGCACCTGCTACTAGTGGTATCCGGGTAAATTGTCATCTATGGATGTGCAGATATGTAGTTCGACCTATAGGTTCGTACTCAGTTAATTCCGATGAGAGCTTGTTGGCCGCGTTGAAACCTTGGAAGTATAGACATGGATCCACTACTCTCACGAAAACCTTACACACAAATACCAAGAGCCTGCCTATGTGGCTTTGAATTAACTTTAAGTTAATGTGCTAGCATTTACTAGTATAGATCGAGGTTCCTTCACTCAGTAGTAGGGCTCATATTCAAGTATTTCAAATTCAATTCATATTGTCGTAATATCGTTATTATGCACGTCATCACACATAGTTAACAGTGGGAAATTTCAAGTTGAGATGGGTATAAATCAAAAGCGTCAAAACTCCTACAAGGGGGATAACCAAAAAATAAAAGAAAAGAGAGGTAAGATCTCCGCAGAGAGCCACAACTATTGTGCCGATTCATCCGATAATGTAGAATCCACAATTTTATGCAGAACAGCACGCACCATCTCGCCATCCCCAGCACCATTAATGCGGGGCGTAGCATCAATCAATTCAATCAGAGACAACGCCCGATCGCGCAAATCTCGAACAACCTGCCGTGTATGCGTGAAACTGCCGGTACTTTGCATATACTGCACCGCATAACGTTTCACTTCCTCATCCTGAGTCTTCTGCTTCAAAATACTCACAAGCTGATGATTGCCGGGATTCGAGCGAATACTATGAATGATTGGGAAGGAGAATTTGCCCTCGGTCAGATCTTCACAGAGACCCTTATTATGCGTGTAGGCCGTATTGGAGAGATTCAGGTAATCGTCGCAGATCTGGAAAATTAGACCCATGACATTCACCAGACTGACACAGTCTTTGCCTGTGCTGCTCTCGGCTTGCATGAGTTTGACGGCGAGTCGGAAGAGACCACCTGTCTTGTTGCCGACCATTTCGAGGTACTCGTCTTCGGTGGGGCAGGTGAGAGTGTCGCGCCAGAAGAGGTCCATACCCTGGCCCCGGTGGAGGTTGAGGAGCTCCTTGACGTAGATGTCGATCGCGACGGGATTATTTAGGCGTTGGATTTCTTGGAGGGCGAGGAAGTAGACGTAGTTTGCGGAGTTGATGGTTTGGGCAGTGCCGAAGATGTTGTGGGCGACGGGGACGCCGCGGCGGAGGACAGAGTTGTCTTCGACATCGTCGATTCTGGAGAGCGGTGGGTTAGAATAGATCCGAGGTGGTACATAAATAAGGTATATGGTACACACAGTAGGGATGCCGTGTGCAGCATCAGGACCACTTTGCTGATGATGGCCAAGCTCTCTGGTGGCACCTGGAGCCAGGAATTAAATGCTTGGATGAG